GCGACAGCGTTATTTGAGCAACTGCAGGTAGACAGTAACAAATACAGTAAGCCAAAATATTCTGGCAGGAGTGAATGAATGTAGCTGGAAGAATAAACACATTACCTTATAAATCTGATTGTTTTTATCAGCTCTTTATCAGAGACAAGCTAGTCATCCAACACAGTACCCCTTTGTATACAGTAGATTTGCAGTATATGGCACATTTGTGTACCTTGAAAACTAAACAAATGGTGGAAAACTTTAAACTTTGGAATTCATTTTACAGCTTCACTCACCTTCACCTTGACTGCCTGCAGACAACACTTACACAGCAGGAGTGTAAACAAGCTTGACGACAATTAATAATGCAGTGTTAGCTGCGTCAGTTGAATCATATTTCATGCTTTCCAGAACAGTGTGGTGTAAATCCATTTAAAGAACAAGGAAACTTTACTACAGCTACTGACAGAAGTTTTGAGGGGTTGATCGAACGTGATCTCACGAGAGAAGGAGCAGACGAAGGCAGTGGTATAAATGAATATCAATAAAACAGCTGACAGTTCATTTGGAGAGAAAAGAGAAATAATTTAATAGAAGAAAGTGTCAGACAGCAGTTTAAACCTAAATGCGAAGCTTAATATGATTCTACAAAGTTGCACAGGGGCCCCATTTACACTTGTCATTTAAATGTCTCATATCAGGATAAAATCAGTCTGAGATGGACACTCAGCCAACCGTCGTATCGTAAAAGTTTATCGTCCTAACGGCTCTAACTCATGCCGGGGTCGGATAAACGCTACAGCAGCTCAGTGTGCTTTCTATTGCAATGTTTCCCAACCTTTTATCTTAAGAGGCCCCTTTTTTCTTTCATTTATTAAACTGACGATTGTAACTGACTGTATATTTCATATCATATCCAAAACTGTACAATGAACCCAGACAGTGAATTCAGGAAGTTTGTGTAAAACGAGTGATTTGGATGAATTTCGAGCAGATTATTATATATGTTTTGTTTTTTTTTTATATTAACAATCACACAGACTTAATAGGCTTTTTTTTGGACCAGGTCAGTGTTTTCTTATCTCTGACACTTTACCTAATTTACTTTACATTTACATTTCTTCACAGAAATGAATGAAATGCTGAGATAAAGGCCTGCTGTGTGATTTATTTATTTATTTTCTCCCACCCCTTAAAATCAAGAAGGCCTTGCAACCCCCCATGAAGCCTTTGGTGACCCTTAGTGGGGGTCCTGACCCCCAGGTTGGGAACCACTCTTCTACTGGATCAAGTCACTGGATCTGTTACCCCTTGTTGCTTTAATCAGGCAGTGTGATTTTAGTGTAACTTTAGCTGCTGTTATAAGGACTGCGGTTGATATTCCAACCATTGATGCCGTAGTAGAGATGTTTAAACAGCAATACAGTACAGGAAGAAGGAGTTAACTCATGTTTAGCATGTTCAGTACACTGCATTAGATTAAGAGGGAACCTGCTGACTGACCAATGCTCATATTGTAAAAGTGATTATTCTAACCTTTTACTGTACTCTACTAAAGGTTAAAGAGTCAGTCAAGTTCACCCCAACTTGTATGTCCTTGACACGGCCTCGTATTATGCGACATTGTTGGGATGTGGAAACAAAACTGGCTGCCAAGCGTAAAGACTTTCATCATAAACACTGACCAGGTGGGAAGAACTGTTGTTCATGAAACATAATCACAATGGTCGAGAAACAGGAAAGCCCAGAAATACGATGATGGCTTGTTGTGCACGGCCGACGAGCTTATCAACAATACACACTTCAGCCAAATTTCCCTAATTTCTTCCCTCTATAGGAAAATGGATTGTTCAGCATGTTTTTCACAGTACGAACACACAGCTAGAGCATGTTCACATGCTCGAATTTATAAATAAAATCATCCATGTAGGGTCAGGTTGCAGGATATGCGGTCTGCCTGGGACGTCATGAAATACAACTACTGTATCTTATTCCATCAATAAACTGTAGAAACAGGCACATTAATCTCTGTTGCATCACGTTAGAGCGGAAAACATCAGCCCATCGACTGAAAGTTAGTCAAGTGATCGTTTCAAGTCATCTTTTCAAGTAAAAATGTCAATATTTCTTTGTTCCAGTTTCTCAAATATTTGTATTTGCTGGTTTCTGTGAGGACGGTCTCAGTGAAGGAATTTCCCCAGCAGTCAGGGTGGCTCAACAGTATTACCGCCAATTTTTGTTGTTGTTGCTAATTGCTGTGCGAGGGGTACAGCGGGATAATGTTTCATCTCAGTACCTGCTTGTAGTAATCTCCCTCCTCCTGCATCCCCCGTTCACTGGTGACTTTATTCAGCTTGAAGTGGCCGAATTGTGATAAATAGGCCATTTGGTGTTTTCTGCTTGCAAGGCTGCTGGTGTTTTGTTCGGTGGAGTTTTTCCAGAGCGAGAGAGGCCGGATGCTACGTGACTTTCTCCTGTGTGGTATTGTAATCCCGGGCTCGTAGCGGTGCGTTTCAGACAGCGTCTCTGGAGGATAAACTGTTTGTTGGACAAAACAAGACATTTGAGTATGTCTACTACAAAAATGTGCTTTTGGAAATTGTGATTGATGTTTTTATTTTTTTATCTTCAAAAATGTTGATTAAACAAGAAAATAATGAGAGAATTGATAACAAGAACATTAGTTAGTTTCAGGTGCACCATTTTGCATAAATGTCTTTATACTTAGCAAAGTAATGTATCAAAAAGGGGGAAATATGGTTTTGTTCTTTTAGGTAATGAGCACTATTCAATGGTTGACTGAAGTTTTACTATAGTAAGGATAAAATAGTGTGTTATTCTCACTACCTACACATTTCAAACAAACACTGGTTTAATATATATATATATATATATATACACACACACACACACTTGAAACTTGTCATGCATGCTGTTCGGTTTGCAGCTGGTTTGATGAATCTGTTTTCTCAGGTGATAATTTGACTTTGTCGTACTTACAGTTTCAGCCGTTATTGAAACACAGGCTGAACCCAGTCTCTCAGAAACTGGGCTACTTTGTATTTTCCTTGGGTGCTAATGTAGCAGCAGCGGTCTCATTTCTCACCGTGGCGGATGGATCTTTTTTTTTTTTAAGTGCAACACAAGGAGGTCCGAGGAGGAGGAGAGGGGTGATTCGAGGTGAAATGTAAACGAGGCTAGTCAGGAAGGATTAGCGTCCTGTGAGCTGCGTGGCCCTGCAGCGGCACCCAACACTGTGACAATGGCGGCTTGTTTTTTAGCGGGTGGCCCAGGGATTGAAAGCCTTTCATGTGTGTCTGTAGTTCCTGCGTATGTCCATGAGTTACAGATTTTAATTTCCACTACTACAACATAGAGAGACATGAGTATATCCTTTGTCACATGAGCCTTTTTTTGCCTCCTAGTCATGATGTGTTACTTATTAAATTCTTTCACAAACTTGATTTTGACTGCTTTGTGTGTGTGTGTGTGTGTGTGTGTGTGTGTGTGTGTGTGTGTGTGTGTGATAAGTATGTTTCTGTTGCCATTGAAGGGGTTTTAACTGTAATATTATATGTAATATTTTGGCTTAATGAATTGCACAGGAAGCCTGTTCACTCTCCTCCATACACGGTGTGCTTCATCGAATGTTGCAGCGTTTTTTCTGTTGCCATGGTTACCCTCCCGATGCAGCGAAGGGAGATGCAGACTGTTAGACTTTGCAGATAAAGAACAGGCGCGAGTCCATTAAGGGAGAAACTGAAGAGGAATGTCAGAAACAGAGTAAATATTAGGGAGGGTTTTCTGGGTAATGCAATCAGTCACAATATCAGCACTAATCAGCTCCAGCTGTAGGGTTTGATGCAGAGCTGTTGTAATGACATAAGTCTTACTGGAATCTACTGTATGTTACTTAGTACATTGCTTAAAGCTATGTTTTCATCCAAATACAAAGCTGAATTGAAATATTATGCATATATGAATGACTGTAATGTTAACTAAATACACTGGTTGAGGTATTTTACTTCAGGGAAACTTACATCAGCTTCACTGGCTTCATTTTATACATGTCATATTAATTTTGAGGCTGACTCCCCCCGTTTTACATGAATTAAGGCGCTGCGATACACTCACTTGTAACTTGATGTATTTCTGCCAGTATAAGTTGTGAGAATATAAATAATATATGTTGAAACTCCTGCAGCGACTGTTTGCATTTGGTATTGTTAATGATAACATGACATGATAATAACATATCATTCTTTTAACAGCTTTATATTAAAGATCCCCTCCAGACACGTATTAACAAAAAAAAAAAAGAGTAAAATTTCCACGTTTAGATCCTTAGAAAGGCATTTACCTCATTTAAAATGACAGAACCGAGACACAAGATGTCTCCTACTTCACTGTAAAGTCCACTCTCAGTGTGTGTGCACTGGTGGCTTTGAGTTTCTACATTACACTCATATAAGCTGCATACTGGACCAGGAAAAGACACAAGAAACAAAGATGCATACAGTATGAAGCTCAAACATTTAGCTGGGGTGTTTGTGGGTAAAGCTACTACACGACATAAAAAATGAAAGCAAACTGAGCGGCTCTGATACAATATTTGGATGCTGGATGCTTGTTTGTTGCTACATTTACTTTTGTGTGTAAATGTAGCAACACGCATTTATTTTGTAATCCCATGTGTTTACCACTCTAAAAACCTATCTTTTCCTTTTTCTGTTATTGTTCTGCTGCAACGAAAACATACTGAACAGTGACCCCAAACTGAAGTTCATATGAGCTGTGCCTTTTGTGAACCTCACCGCTGGCGTTGTGCCATATAACAAAATGCAATTATAACAACTGTATGACAGTAACAGCTGAACCGAACCCTGCTGTGTTTCTTTCTGCTTTTTTTTTGGGAGGAGGGGGGGTAAGCTGTGTGAACGGAGCGGTGGGGTTTTGATTGTTGCACAAACGTTGTTGGGTGACCTTTCCGTACTTTATCATGTGTTCCTCCTCTACAGGTCAGTTGAAGCTGAAAATGAGTGCAGTAGGGGAAAACCCCCTGGACCCTGCCACGCCAGAGTCACGCAAGAGGAAGGGCTCACCATGCGTTACATCAGGGCAAAGGTAAAGACCCAGCTCCCACGTATTGTTGTTTTTGTTAGTGACGTTACGGGCAAAAAGCAAAACACAGCAGACTACAACAGCACAGCTGAAGAGCTCCAGCTCCTGCTTTACTTACTGTCCAACAGGCTTTAACTCTGCATGATATGGTCATTTTGTGCCCCGTCGCTTAACAATATTGCTTCTTACATAACGGAAAAAGATCCCAATGTAAGTATGTGAAGTGCATAAATAATTAATACAATAATTTAGACTCCGATAAGGAAATAAATTATGGTGTTGTAGTTAAACTCCAGTCCACTCCAGTCCTTCTCCTCTGAGACATCAGAACAAACAGTTAGTTGATGGACATAACATTATTTACCTACTGTTTTTATCATCAAATAATCATTTAAGTTATTTCTTTGGGAAAAAATAAAATGTACTGCTTTTCTGTTATGTGATATAGTGCATGCACATATCTCCTGTTCGTTCATCGCAGACATTTTAGACACCAAATGATGATTAACTGAGCCGCCTTAAGAACCTGCGCTGGTCAAAGATCCTCAGACGTGTTTAAATAATGTTATTAGAAATGGATTATTGAATGAAGACTAACTGAGAAACCTCAACAGTAAAACAACCCCTAAGGCTAATTACTCCTTTTTAAGTAATTCTTGTGTATCTAAATATGGGCTTGTCACATCTGTCCTCACTTCTGTTGCCCCTCGCAGTAACTCGGCCTCGTAGATAGCCTCTCACTCCCTCTGCAGAGTACAAGAGTCGCTCGACGAGCGGCGGCGGCGGGGTGAAGATGTGTAGTCAAGGAACCTGCAGCTCAAGAATCCACTATCAGTCACTTGTACTTTGAGCAGAGCGGAAACTCTGAGAGGGCCTTTTCAACGCTGTCTCATGCGTATGTGTGTGTAATGTCTTGTATATCTGTAAATGAGAGGAAGACTATCGCAGTTTTAGACCCTGATTTTAGAGGGAGAGTGGCAGCAGGTAAAGGGATGAATGTTGTCAGTGTGTGCTGCGTGCGTGCGTGCGTGAGTCTATAAGGCCCAATAGCTGATGTAAGCTGATGTAAGAGCCCAGCTAGCATTTCTACAGCAACTACACGCAGCCACTGACCTGCGCATTCACACAGCAGCGTCCTCACCCCTCCCTCCCTCCCTCCCTCCCTCCCCCGGTCACCACGCCTGTGTGTTCTGGCTGGCCAATGCGCTGACCTACTTTTACTGTTGTCGTCTCTCACACACACACACACGCACACACACACATATACTCACATATACACACACATTCCTCTTTTCATGTTTACCACATACCTTGCTGTAACTCGTCGGGTTGGAAGTATGTTAATACAACTGGAAAATAAAGTGAAGCTGAAGGCTGTGCGCGCAGACTAGTGAGAGTTAAAGGCAGATTTAAGTTGCTTTTTAAATATTTTGTGTCAGCTTTACTTAATATATTGCAGCATTCATGTTTACATATTACTGAAACAGATTACATTTACAGATTACATGATGTACGGTACATTATGATGTTACTTACACATTCCCCGACTCTGACACCGATAATGTAAACCACCTATTTCTTGATAGAGACAGTTCATCTTTTATGAAGTTTAAATGCTCCATAAACTAAATGTAATGCCAAGAAATCAGGTCAAGTAAAGATCAGAGCTGCAACTAGCAAGTATTTTGATTATTTATTCATCTACTGATTATTCCCTTGATTAATTGATCCGTAATCTATGGACGACCGACTACAACTTCGGCCATAAATCTGCCGATTGTTGCAGATATATCAGTATCGGTGTACAGGTTGGCCGATAGATAACAAAAAAAAATTCCACAGCAGAAGCTAAAACATGTGCTAAAGATTATTCAGACACTATACCTCCATTACATAGATTGCTACCAGAAAGTTTTTAGCTGAAAAACGTCCCACTGAGCTCATATCATGGTCACAATTCTGTAATCAAATTAATTGAAAGGATATTTATGGATTTATTATTGTTTATTAATGTGTATATGTGACAAATAACTCACAAACTCACAAATAAATCTAAATAAAGGAGCTGGAAATGTCTTAAATAATTAATCATGTATCAAAGTCATTCCTAAATGACTTTTCTATTAATTGATTAATCAATTAATTGCTAATTGTGTCATCTCTATTAAAGATATATTCTCTTTTTCCTGTTCCTGTCAGCCAAGTCAACAATAAACCATTTAAGTCTCTCACTGTCCACCTTTACCTCCATCTCCTTCTTTCCCACCCTCTTCCTCTTGGGAATTTCCCCTCCCCCCCCCCCCCCCCCCCGTGCCTCCTCGTCTTTCCCTCAGCAGGAACTCCTGCACGGCGACAATTATTAATGTTCTTCTTGTCTCAGCACATCCTCTGCTCTCTCACCAGCTTCCTATTTTTCCCTTATTACTTCCTCGCTCGTCACTCACAGCAAACAGTTTATTAGGTAATAACAGTGTATTCTTTTTTGCCTGCAGGGATTTACTGATGGCTTATTCCAGATATTAGCCAGCGATGTGGAAATGTGCATACGGATCATTTAAAAACATTTAATTGAAAGTACAAAAAATGAATTTGGTTAATTATCAGATAAGATGGTTTTGTCCAAGTTAAATTAAGTATTTATCTTCATTTTGTTTTATTAATTGGTATTTTCTCATTGTTATGATGTTGTTTTGTTTATTAGTAATCTATTACAGATAGACGGAGACAGAGATTTTTCTGATAGCAGATATTTTCCAGCTCATTGAGGCCGATATATGCACATATATTTCTCAGCCGTACTGTAGAGAACATCAAGTCTCTCCTGTGGTGGAATCAACGTATTATTATGCCTGCTGTAATCGAGACGGCCCACTGGCAGCTGCACACATAAACTAAATGTTCACATTCAAACTATAAAATCCATCCTACTTTAACAGGCTGGGATGATTCTCTCCCCGAGACAACAACCAGGGCGTAGTCCGTAAATCCCAACATCTTCAACAAATGAGAACAGCTGATTGTCCGTAGCAGTACACTCCTCCAGCTTCTGATAGATGTTTTTGTCTTTGTTTTTCACAAATTTGTCTTAATGATCTGGAGTAGATACTGGTTGTAGTAAAGTACACAAAGTAGAAGCTTTTGACCTTTTAATCAGGGAACACAACCTGTATACCTCTTACAGAATGCTATGCATAAACATATAGGCTGGATCATATAGACTACATACAGATCCTGTATGTACATCCTACATACAGATCCATTATAAGATCACTTCCTGAACAGATTTCATTAGTTGAAATCACATTTCTGCTGTCAGAAAATCCTTTGGTTGAACGATCCTCACCAGAGTCTGTTTGGAAGCTCGATTGGTTGTTTTGTCCCGCATCCAAACTAATTTTCTGCGCTCACATATGCCCAAATGAACCGCGCCATGTGGATAAATGCTCCCGGTTTCGAAAAAAACAACTGGTCCAAACAAGACGTGTGAATTCACCCTTAGAAAAAGGACCGATTCAACTGATTACATATTTGAAACTCATTGCGTGTCTATTTTTATTTTTTTTTGTTGCAGTCTGGAGAAGCGGAGACGGGAGCTGGAGTGCCGCTACATCGAGGAGCTGGCTGAGCTGCTGTCATCCAACATGGGCGACATTGCCAGTCTCAGTGTCAAGCCCGACAAGTGCCACATCCTCAAGAGCACCGTGGACCAAATCCAGCAGATGAAACGGCGTGAGCAGGGTGAGGGTTTTTTTTATGACACTCAAACTGAAAATTTTTTATTTTTTGATAAGTGAATGGTGTAAATGAAAAACCTCTCTCAGGGACACATTTAATCAAAATGTCACATTTTATTTTCTGAAATTCATCTTTTAAAGATTCATTTATGTTAAAAATTGTCAAAATTCTGACTATAATATTGAACAGTTCTTAATCAATAGTTCAAAATTCAGTATACATAAATCTTGTGTGCAAAGTTAGGTTTACTTATTAGCAGCTTTAGCATCCAGGTCTTAAAGTTTCTGGATCATTTACAGGTGTACGTATATACACATTACAAACAGCTTTCAATGGGGGGGCATTAAAGTATTTAAGTGTGGTTTTACAGGATACCTCCGTGTCTGTGTATTTAGATTTCTGATTTGTGTTTGTGTCCTTCTGACAGAGAAAGCACCTCTTCTGTCTCCAGATGATGAGGTGCAGAAGAGCGACATCTCCTCCAGTAGCCAGGGGCTGGTGGAGAAAGAGGCACTGGGGCCCATGCTGCTAGAGGTGAACAATGCATACACAGCCACACACACAAATACAGACTCACACACACACACACACACACACACACACACACACACGCGTCTTCCATCCCACCACCGCTGAGATTTTTACTCAACGCACACGATCTAATTTTCTTCTCTCCCCTTCTCCCGCTCACTCAGGCCCTCGATGGGTTTTTCTTCGTCGTCAACCGGGAGGGCCGCATCGTCTTTGTTTCTGAGAACGTGACGAGTTACCTTGGATACGCCCAGGAGGAGCTGATGACCTCTAGCGTCTACAGCATCCTCCACGTGGGAGACCACAATGAATTTGTTCGCAATCTGCTGCCCAAAAGCCTGGGTGAGTGAGTTGGGACTTAGACAGCGCATGCGTCTGCTGCCTAATACTTTAATATCCTAGGTCTAAGATCCCAGTGGCTATTATTTTTTAAAACATATTTGGTAATTACATTTTCAGTATTTTCAAATTTGACAGTTTCCATGCCAGTGAAAGCCATTAAGGAGGCTGTAAAACTCAGGAGATGGGTTTTGGCTGAAATCTCAGTATACAGTCCTTAATGCACATAATTGACCCGCTTTATTGATGGAAAAATACTGTAGCTAAAGCAGATTTGAAGAGCTGTGAAGAAAGGCAGAATGGCAAACTATGGAACTTTTAAATTAACACAGTTTTAAGTGCTCTTCACAAAGCTGCAAAATGTGCTATGAGAGGGAGGAAACCGTAAAGTCAGAGCATGTGTGGGTGAGTTTGAAGAGTGAGACAGCGGCTTTCTGTACAGCGATAATGTCACTTTAATTTTTAGCCACAACCTTGAGAATAGATTATAATGAAAACGGAGAGGAGGCCTGAGGCAGGTCACATAAGGAGAAAGATAACAGAGTGCAATAGACGACAAGGTTGGATTTCCTGTTGATCTTGTAATCCCTTTTAATTTTGTGCCCGTCACTACAGCGCTCCTTTCTCCTTGGCAACAGAGATCTTTGAAACCTGCTCTCACAGAGAAGCTAAAACTAGTTGCTTTGTTGCCATCTCAGTGAAATGTTTCAGTACATCTGGGTGTGATTTCAGGTTGCTTTGCCTTTATGTACTATTACAATAGGGCAAAATGAGGAAAATACACAAAACTGAAAATCTAAGAATATGATTGCCAACGAATTCTTCCCTGTAATTGTTGTGCATATGACAATAAAGACCTTGGTGTGTAGCATCTTCAAATTTCTGCTGCATTCATTTAAATCCAGGAGTGAACACTTCACATAACCCATCACCGACATTGGCAGCTCCTACCAGTCTTGAAAAAGACATTTGAAATGAGACGGGAAGAGATTTTACAGGAACGTGTTTGACTGTTCAAAAGACGGCTTTACGGTGGATTTCTGTAAATCAGGCGTCTGTTTCACAAAAGCAATTTGCGAGTGTTATTAGGCACAGAGCGCAAACGGTGGCAGTGTCACAATTCGCAATTTATTGTCTCTCACAAAGTCCTACAGCGCTTTCACTAGCTCATGCATGGATTGCAGGTGTGCTGTTTAATTAGTGATCTATTCAAAATGAGTGAAAAGGGGAAATCTGGTGTTGCAGATCACAATGTGGTGAAACAGGCTTTTGTGTGAACAGAGCTTAAGTCTTTCAAAGGTCCAGTGTGTGGGATTTAGTGGCGTCTAGCATCGTAGTTGCTAAACGTAACTTCCTCGTTTTACCCTACCAAGTGAAAAGGAGAAACTACGGTGGCCTATCTAGAGCCGGTGTTTGGACTTCATGGAAGGCGACCCGCGGCGTCTGTAGATATACAAGGCTTATTCTAAGATAACAAAAACATAACTATTCCTATATTTGGGTGATTGTACACTAAAAAAAAACATACCTGTGAGTATTATATTTAATTTCTGCCAATAGATCATCCTAAATGTTTCACACTGGACCTTTTAAATCAAGGGAAAGACAATAGTTGTGGTTTAAATTATTGCGTTGTGTTGACCATGGTTTGCAACAGATACAGTGTAAAGGTATCACATTAAATAGTTTGTTGTATCTTTAAAAACTAAAGAATCTTAAAGCTGTCCTGTAGAGTTTTCTTGTAAACTACTTTTCTGTTTACATTCATGACATGTTGTATCCTTTAGGCCGTGCTGAGTGCATCCCCTCCCCTCCTTGCAAAACCGGCTTTTATTTTGAGACTTTTGTTTACTTGCAGGTAGTCTTCCTTCTTCTCTGAGTTTGCTGGCGTGTTGCCTCCATAAGTCAGTGCTAATAGTGTGAAAACATTAGCAGGAATGTGCATTGCATCACTCATGTGCAAACAAAACAGTGACCCACTAATAAAAACAGAGCTCATAGTTCTACTAGCGGTCAAATCTCCAGAGTCCCTGAACGTTTCCCCAATAGATACAGTTATACTTTGTATTAATAACAACAGTTAATTGTAGTTAAACTCTGGTTATTTTTCCTCCCGTCCAGTAAACGGCGTGCCGTGGCCGCAGGAAACTGGCCGAAGGAACAGCCACACCTTTAACTGTCGCATGCTGAAGAGGCCGCCGGACGAGTTGGATTCAGAAAATCCGGAGGCTCGGCAGCAATATGAGATCATGCAATGTTTCACCGTGTCCCAACCACGGACCATGCAGGAGGAGGGAGAGGGTACGCAACACACACACACACACACACACACACACACACACACACACACACACACACACACACACACACACACACACACACACACACACACAGTGAGGGCACACAGAGTGCAGCCTTTTATTACACACAGTCAGTAGATTGTACAGCTGTTGAAGCCAATATAATTAGAACATTTGCTGTCTTTTTTTGACCTTTATTTTGACTGTTGTTACTATTATTTAGAAATGTTTTATATATATATAGTATATGAAATATATTTAATAAGGTGTTTCATTAGTGCTTTGTTTTGTGGCTAGTTGATTAAACTTGTGTCACAAGATTTTGGACCCCTGACACTATTCCCTCAGTATTAAGCATTTTTGTGAGGTCTTATTTCTGCTCTTCAGGCTCTGCATAACCTAAAACCTACTATAAACTAGGAACTGAAACCGCTGTGTGTAGGTGGTATAAGAAAGGCTGAAATCTTACGAATGCTTTAACCGCTTCTAAATTGAGCCATTCAGGGGATCAAACAAGGTGGCTCCATAATGAGCTGGTGAATCTTAAAAAGGTGTTTAAATTTGAATTATGTGTGTTTAAATTGGAATTTGGGATTATTGAAACCAAATCATTCAAGAAGAATGTAACATACGTAAAAACCTGCCTGTTAAAATGTAAAAGATGATGAAAACATATTTCTATGACACTTGTTTTTCTGTTTCCCCTGTACGCAGTAAATGTGGGCTATGTCAGGAATTTATCCAATTTTTATCCAATAGATTAAAACTATTTGGCCGGAATTCTTTCTCATTTTTGTCTTTTTACTCATGAGTGCAAAGTTTTAAAACAAGGTTGCAGCGTTCAACTATCTATCAGAACTTCTACCATCTGATCAGTTGGACAGGGACCAGATTCTTGAAGGACATTTCATATTTTTTTTGGAGTTGTTGGTGCAGTGGCCTTGATAAAATTACGTGATGTGGTTTCCTGCATTTCAGATTCTCTGTGCTGTCGAGCTCTGCCTGGGTTTAGTCCATTTGATGGAGAGCAGTATCATTTTTCAGTCAACTTTTAAGCCCCAGCGTGTGTTGTTTGCATTATAGATATGATTGACAGCTCCCTCAGCACATTTCCAAGTTTTGATTGGTTGTTATAACTTCTGACTTATACAGAGAATCCAAAAAGATCAGACGTTTCGAGTTTCAGCAGGTTGTTTAGTATCTAAAACCTGCTATTTTCTGTAAATTAGCCTGTAATGGAAACCTCGATCGTCTGCCATGATTCACTTACATGTTTATCTTTAGTGTAATTTCACCCACGATGGTCACATCTCTCTCTCTCTTTTTTCCTCACCACTTGTGTCCTTTCTTTCTTCAGACCTGCAGAGCTGCCTGATCTGTATTGCCTGTCGAATACCTCGCGCCCAGCCGTTCAGCACTGAGTCTTTCATCACAAAGCAGGACCCCACAGGTAACACACACACACACACACACACACACACACACACACACACACACACACACACACACACACACACAGACAGACAGACACACACAGAGGTATAATGTCATAATCAGGATTTCCTAGAATACGATGAAATTCTTTACTATGTTATATTATTGGGAAACATTTTCCAACTCATTTTCCTTGGTGACACAGTGTGACCTCTGTATGTGGAGGCTACTGCAGATGTTGAAGTCTGTGTAGACTGATGGGTTTTTTTTTTGTGTGTGTGTGTGTAAATGTGTGTGCTGCTCCGCTCCAGGGAAGATCATCTCCATAGAAACAAGTGCTTTGCGAGCGACAGGCCGGCCAGGCTGGGAGGACCTGGTCAGGAAGTGCATCTACGCTTTCTTTCAGCCGCAGGGCAAAGAGCCCTCCCACGCCAAGAAGCTGCTGCATGAGGGTGAGTCGCCTGCGATTGATTGTTCAGCTTCACTCTCAGAAATCATTGACACGCTCTCTGCCAGCTTTGTCATGGTTACCAGAGTTTCAGCTCCTACTTCAATACCATTATAATAGATGGAGCTACATTTTAATAACCTTTCATAATTCTGCATCACCTTCAGAGTTAGTGTGCTTTATATGCGGATGTATACAGCGGAAAGCGCAGGAAAGACGAGCAGAAGAAGAAATCGCTTGCACGCTTACCGACTGTCTCCACACCCCGCCTCTTTCTGTTTCTCTCTCCTCGTCTGTTGACTGATGTATTCAGCAGTATGTTTTATAAAGTTGCCCAAAAAAAACACTGTTCTCACAACAGCAGGTGAACCGCATGTTGTTAACGGAAAGAATAAGATCGAGACCTACGTGGCACTGGACGCTTTACCTGGTCCGTGCTTCTAAAATGTCCACCGTAATCAAGCAATCAAATACCGACTTAGACGTGGATTACCGTGGCAAGCACACCTGGGCAGAGCGAGGAGGAACAGAAGAGGAAAACGGCACAGGGAAATATACAGCCCTAACATTGATTGACTAATACATTAATCAATCAACTAATTCTTTTAGTTCTGCTACAGTCTAGTTTTCATATACCTGTTGATACCTGTGCTCTAAAGTTGGTTGGCCACATGTGGTGGTGAAAAACTTAAAAGATAAACTATGGATCTAGTAAATCCAAACCAATGTGAAGCATCGAAGGCCGTCCGTAGCTATAAAATAAATGTGTATAGATAATAGGAGAGTGGAAAGACTGACCAATATCGGATTATTCCAACACTGAAACCACGTTATCACATGGTGTATTGATTGATACCTTGGTGCAGAAGTATAATTTAGGCCTTTGGGGGAGTCAGAGCTCTTTAAGCCTGGATATATCTGGGGAAGGCAGAAAACAAACAAGAGATGAGACCAAAGTCTAAACCCTGTTTTTGTCTCTTTCTGTGTGTGTGTGTGTGTGTGTGTGTGTGTGTGTGTGTGTGTGTGGTGTGGGTGTGGGTGTGGGTGTGTGTGTGGGTGTATTCCCAACAGTGATGACCCACGGCACCGCTATCAGCCCTCTGTACCATTTCACATTAAGTGATGGCACCCCGCTCAGCGCTCAGACCCGCTGCAAGTTCTGCTGCCCCCCCAACCCTGACGTACAGCCCTTCATTATGGGCATTCACACTATTGACAGGTACTGTGCAGGACACGTACACACACTCATTCACAGATTTCCATGTGTTTGAGTTTCATTTGCATTTGATATGAAGCCATAACAAAGAGTAAAGAACGTTAGATCTTCTAGCCTGTGCACATGGACATCATAATGGGTGTGTTTACTGTAAATGCACACGAGTATCCCAGTTGTGATCAGGTTTTTGGTGTATCCGGGTTATATTTTGCACATTTTATCACCATATCCTGGTTTCAGAAGCCTGGATACTCTGCAGGATACTGACAGGTGAACTGATCAGTCTCTTGCTATGTTTGAAGATACATTGTCAGCTTAAGTTCAAGTAAAACAAAAAGTATTATTATAAACGATTTAATATAGATTTACTTCTGGTAAAGCAGAGAATACATGTTATGTTTGCTGTAGTTTTCTATTGATTAGAGGCAGCGGTAAATACAGCATAATCCAGGCAGCCAGAAATCAAACTGCTGAGGAAATCAGCATTCTGTACATTGAAGAGTCTTTATCTCTGCCACATGGTCTCCTCAGGTTACAGTTATCTTTCCTCCTTTCTTCCAGGGAACACAACACTGCTAGCTCTCAGGAAAACACTAACCCCAGCCTTCCACCGAACCTTGGCAGCCTTGCCCAAACTCCTTCCCGGTCCCCTTCCCTTCCTCCCGGCAGCAACTGGACCCAAGGCTCAGGCCTCGCCACCTCGGGCCTTCACCCCAACAACAGCAACGCCTCCTCCCACGGACATAACCCAGCCACACCCACAGGCTACCTGACGCCCAATCGGACCTGTTCCCAACAGGTGAACAGCCCCTCTCCTTTGAGCAGCCCACTCACAGCCACCCCTACCTCTTTTATGTCACCCAGGATGCCACGGGCCAGTCCTGGGTTAGGGGGAAGCCCTCGTATACCGGGGAACCCCTTCTCTCCTTCCACAGCGGGCCTCCATTCGCCAGCCGGGGCACTAAGCAGCGGAGGCAGCCTCAACAGGCAGCAGTCTGGCGGTGATGGTAGTAACGGCGCCAGCGGTGGGTCAACAGGGTCCTTCTCCATGTCCTCTCCTGTCCTTCAGAGACAAGCCAGTACGCCCACCGGCTCCTCTACTCGGCCCTCATCGGCAAAACCCCCAGAGGGAGGAGAAGGAGGGGGAGAGGACTCTGTTAAAGCCCCCCTTCCTTCTGGCTCACAGCTGGGTAACCCCAGACCCAATCAGCTCCTGGATAGCAATGGGACAGGAGTTGAATCTAACAACAACAACAGTATCCACTGCACCTCATCACCTCATCCTCCAAACCCTCCTCCTGCCCCCCAGTGCCCGGCCTCCCACAGTACTCTAACAGAAAGACATAAGATCCTCCACCGGCTGCTCCAGGACAGTAGTCCCAGCGACGCCTCCACCCCCATTGAGGACGGAATAAACAAAAACCAAGTTGAGATCAAGAAGGAGCCGCCTGCCAGTCCGGCACTGACAGCAGCAGCTTCCAAGTCCAGCTCCAGGGAGCCACAGGACCATCAGCTTCTCCGTTTCCTCCTGGATACGGACGAAAAGGTGAACATCAAATATTGCCTTTCCTTACGTATTATTTTAATTATGTACATCCCTACTAAATAATATATTGCTAGCTGCCCTATAAGATACACACTAACTTATTATTACATTATTGACTAACTGAAGCGTAATCTGTTTTATCAGGACTTAGGGGACCTGCCACCTCCATCTGCCCTCAGCCTGCAGACGGTTCGGGTAAAAGTGGAGAAGAGAGCCAGCGTGGACGGAGTGGCCTGCACGGGGTCTACCGTCGCAGCATCCAATGCAGGTGCATCCAAACCTGTGGGAGTCTCCAGCAGCTCAGCCTGCATGAGTCCCAAATCGAGCCCCGTCGGAGAAAACCGCCGAGACAGCCGCAGGGACAGCCGAGACTCCACGGTACAGTCGTCTACTAGTCCAAAAGATGAAAAGACCTCCTGATGATAGACCATATAGTAGGGTAATCACAGGTGTTTACGAATTCTAAACACCTGGTGCTATTGTGCGTGCTGGCTCACTGGAAAGACTCTGCTACTCTAAATGGAACGGCACTTAATTAGTATCATTTGTAACACCTGTGTTTACCCGACTATTTAGAGTGAAAATGGCTGCAGAAGGTCCATTAGAATGTAGAAAAGTTTAGTAATGTCACATAAACTTGCTGTACACGAGTGCCAGAATATCTATTGAGGTAATTTAGAAACAGTTTCACCATTTATTTTCAAGCTGTATGTCCCACTCAGTATATAACTTGTCATAATAATTCTTTGAAAGAAATACATTTAAAGACCCTTCACACCCCTGGTACACCCACACAGGTCATTTTCATTATTTTGCCTGTTTTCTCAGTGTTGTGTGGGTGGGTACAGAAACTCTCCTGTAAGCATCGCGGATAACAGATCTTTATCAGTCCTCTTCACCAGATTGTTAAAAACTTTAGTAACTTAAGTTTCTCCACCGTTATCTGCCTCAAAAGTCAAGTAGAGCTCGAGCTGTTGATCGGAAATTATGACCGAGTTTAACAGGCCACCCAAACCACAGAGGGGCCCTCCTCTTCAGACCAACGTGACAAGCAATTAACCTGTGACAGCAATCTTAATCAAACCAGGTTGAACACACATTCAGCAGACCTGTAGTGAAGTCTGCAGCCAGTTCAGATAGTCATTAACACCCAAATTATAACTTTAATGACCTAATAATTGAAATGTACATGCTCCTGCAGGGGTAGCACTCATGCATGCACACCACTTTTACACAGTGTGAGAAAGATTACTTCACAATTAAGCATTGGAATTTTCCTCTTTTGAGCTTTGCTCCTGCATTGGCAGTTGCCTGACAGCCGTTGTAAATCACGTTGAATGTTTATTTTCTTGGACTTTGTCTCCACTGTAGGCTCAGCTACCAGCTGCAGCCTTTGAAGCTCACTGGCCTTTGACCTTTTGTCTCTCCCCATCTCTCTGTCACTGATCCTCTGCCCCCCCCTCTCCTGCCACCTATTATTCTTTAATTCTTTACTCTTTTGCGCCATTACACCATTCATTCTTCCATCCTGTCTTTCCCCCCTCATATTCCTCGTCTCTATCCCCTTCCATTTATATCTGCTTTACTCTCCGTTTCCTGCTCTCAGATGTCCGCTGGCCCTGTTGACATGGACCCTCTCACCCAGCTGCTGCCTGGCCTAAGAGGCCCAAGTGGGGTCAAACAGGGCAGTGAGGATACAACAACCCCTGGAGGAGGCCCCCAACTCCAGTCTCCAGCCCCCCAGCCCCCAGCTCAACTCCAGTCCCCCGTGCCTCAGCTCCAGTCCCCCTTATCCCAGCCCCAGTCCCTTTCCCAGTTGCAGTCACCGTCACCCCAACTCCACTCCCCTTCCCCCCAGCTCAAACTGCAGTCACCCACTCAGCTCCAGCCCAGTGAGGCCAGCACTCCCCGCAACGTAAATGTGAAGAGAGAGCCTCCTGGTACTCCTAACAGAGGTACAGTTTCAACTTAGCAGGGAGGAGGAGGGGGGGTCATGTTAAAGGGTTCAGCATGACATACTACCTACATACTACATATAGACACTGGGTGTGTAATTCTACTGGAAAACCTAAAAATGTTTTACCTTTTTCATGTCAAGAAATTACAAACTGTTCTCAGATTCTTTAAGTTATTTTAAAATTATTCTTTTATTATTATTATTATTATCATTATTATTATTTGTAGTAGTAGTTGTAGTTGTAGTTGTTGTTGTAGTAGTAGTATCCAGTATAGTATTTTGATCCATATCCAGGTCTCACTATTTATTTATTGATTTACCTACACATTGTTAGTCTGTATGCCCTCTAGTGGCTATTAGGATGCATTGCAGTGTCAACAGACACAGACAACAGACACCATTTGACATGGAACCAGTTTACTTTGTCATATGTCTATGAAGTGTGAGACTGTGTATCAGTGCTATACACCAAAGGATTGTTCACCAGTTTTTTGTATTATTGTATTATGTATTCCTCATTTACTTGTTTCCCAGGTCTCAGTGATGGCGGTCCGCCCTCTGGATGCAGCCTCCAGAGTCAGTCATCCTTTGATTTCTGCAGCCCCCCCACTCCAAGCCAGACACCGGGCCAGGGACAGGGAGACCCCTTCCAGACCCCCAAAGACAACAGCCCCTTCCCAGAGGCAGAAGTTATCAACCCATTCAGTTCAAGCACTGGTACACAAGAACACATAACGCAGTCACACTGATAGTTACTGAAGATGTGCTAGAAATGGATCTCATGACAGCTGTGGGAACCCTGTTTGTGGGTAACTTGACACTAAATCTTCAGTAGCAGTGAAGCTTTGTTGAGCTCTATAGGTTGAACAATTCAATACATAAATGACCGTACTCAACATCACCATTGGGTGTGGTCAGACTGTATTCTCTTACATGTTATGACCCCACAAGCGATGTAGCTTTGCACTGTTGCGTTAAAGAGAGCAGTGCAATGCTACATCAAGCAAGGTGAACATTTGGCGTTAAAAGCAGGATTTTATGATTATTCATTATATTTGTTGAATCAGATTATTTTGAATCCAAATTCAGCGTTAATATATATATTTTCTTTTTTGGCTAATTGTGTCTTGTTTTCCTGTTTCAGGCCTAACCAAGATGGATGTGGGAGACTCCCAGTTCCAGCCTCTGGCTCTGTCTGACACCTTGTCCTTTGATGGTCTTGGAACCCCTTTACAGGCTCCCTTGGCATCACCACAAGAGTAAGTATTACTGTACCCATCCGTTGTCACTTAACTATATTTTTTCTGTTATTATCTCGTCGCTCCAGCATGGTAGTGCGGGTGATAATGCAGCCGTGTTTCTCTGTGTGAGCAGGCAGTGTGTGCCCTGTACGCTGGATGAGGTGCTAGGCCCCCCGACCACGCCTGAAGGCCGAAACGATGAGAAAGCTCTGTTAGAGCAGCTCGTCTCCTTCCTCAGTGGGACTGATGAGAGTGAGCTGGCTGAGCTGGATAAGGCCCTGGGTATTGACAAGCTGGTACAGGTGAGAGTGTAATACTTTACTGGGCAGTGGATGTGTACAGGGTATATAAAAAGTGCAGTTAGGAAAGACTCTACATATTAATATTACTTAATTATTATTGGTTATTTATATTTTATTATGTATTTTGTTCATTGTAACAAGGGAAAGGGAGGGCAGTCAGACTTGGCTATGTTTTCATTTATAATAAAGAAACAAATCTTTAATATCTTTTTGTCCTATGTTTGTCTGCCTCTTCCCAGGGTGGCTGTTTTGACCCTTTACCCCAAAACTTCCCAACCCAGCAACCCACTGCCAGCCCAGTTTCCATGGACCCTAAACTCCCCACCTACCCTTCCCAATTCACACCAGCTTCACAAGCTCAGTTTCCTCCAGAGCTGGTCACAGTCGGGCCTCAGGGTCTGGGATTCGGAGCCCCCCGAGGGGCTTTCCCCGGTGGGACGACGGGAATAGGGCTGAGGCCGGGAATGACGCGACCACAGGGGATGGGCACTCAGCTCAGGCTGCCACCCAACCAACTGCGCCTGCAGCTGCAGCAGAGGCTGCAGGGCCCACAGCAGGTGAGGACACAGAGCTCGTTCGTTTGTTTATTCCATTTCAGATGGAAGATTTTGCTACTTGTGATGCTTTTACAGGAAGGCCTCCTTAAGGATTTCTGCTGTATCTCCTGATGTGTCTAATGTTTACAGTCACAGCTGAACTGTGAGCAATGTGTTCAGAACATATTAGGTGTAATTAATTCACACAATTCAAAGACTGCTAATACAGCAGAAACACACAATCCATTAACAAGTGGAAGAAAGGAACACCTTTAAGTTCTTCACACTGTGCTTTCATATACAACACACATCTTACTCATTGCTCCTCACTGTGAAATACTCAGAGCTGTAATGAATAGCACAAAATACTGACTAGCTTTCTGTGTTAGTCTAAATCCTTCTATATCATAATTAATCTTTTTGAGTATTGATTGAAATGTTCTCTCCTCCCTCATAACTAATATTCAACTCCTCTCCCTGGCCCTCTCTCTTCTCTCCTGTTTCCATGGCTCCCATAACATGTTTTTGTATATATCCACCACTCCATTACCATCCTCTCATCCTTCCACACCTGTGTGACCTCTGCTTACATTTGTCCTCTTTCTACGTCTCTCTGTCTCAGCTCCAGAACAGGATGGCGGGCATGAGTCCGTTTCCAGGAGGAGCCCAGCATGTGAACATTGGGATTCGTCAGGGGGTTCAACAGCCTCAAATGCCCACCCAAGTGAGTCTCAGTGGCAGCAAATGATACTCGGCTCGTCCTGAGAGACAACCAAAACAATTAGTTTACATAGATCGTAGTGATGAACCCAGAGATAATTATCAGCTTTGTTTCTTTCAGCATCTTTCAGCTTTTTTCTTTTTGTTTTCACAACCTGCAGTTGGGATGTTTTGGGTTCACTCTCAACGCATCCATTTGCATCATTTCCAGTAGCAGCAAGCAGCTGTTTTCAGCAAAGAAAAGAAAGCTTGGCAATTAGATGGCAAATATAAAGAGCCAGATATTTCCCTCAGGAGTCGGTAGAGACCAAAACTGAGCTAAGAGAGTAAATATTGGACTTTACATTCTCCAAATGAATGGTTATGTTGTTAACAGTTCACAATATCAACTTAAAACAATGTCAGTGTTTACTGTTTGTTCCACTGGCCAAAAATCAGTTAATGCAGGTACAATAAGAAAATTTTTGGTTCATATTTTTAAAGATAAACTTGATTTTTGTATCAGGAGCTCCGTTTAGTTATTAAAGCTGCACCTTGAAACGACTACAAAATGTAATAACTACCATTCCACATGAACTATTTGCTTGTATTATATCACTTTCTTGTTATATATTTTCTCTTTACTGATAAATTTGTCTTACATTGATCTTCAGGTAGTATACTAAACTCTCAGAAGTCTAAGTGTATCTTTCTGAAACTTACAGAGGCCCTGTACAAGTGACCTCTTGGATAGCAAGGTGTATTGTGTATTTTAAAACAGAGTAACAAGTTCTCTTTACGTCCTGTCTCCCAGCAGCCTCCGCTGAATGCCCAGATGTTGGCCCAGCGTCAGAGGGAGCTCTACAGCATCCAGCACCGCCAGCGCCAGCTTTTCCAGCAGAAGGTCATGCTGATGAGACAGAACATGGCAGGCGCCCCAACTGGAGCCGTGGGGTCCGTTGGAACTGCCAGGGTCCCCAAAGGTCCCCCAACAACGCCTCAACAGCAGCAGCAGTTCAACTTCCCACCAGGGTACAACCCAATGACGGGAAAATCCCCTACCTCACCGAGTCACTTCAGCCCTATGACCGGAGGTCCTCTGGACAACAAACTGTCCGTCAGAGTTCCCCTGAATAACCAGACGCTGATGGGCGGCGTGCAGGGCCAGTTCAGCAGCACCGTGAACGCCTCATTGCAGCCGGCCCTGTTTCAGCAGTTTGGAGGGTCTGGTGAGTGCAAGGAAACCGGCTCCACCACAGACTGATAATCCAGTTTCATTTGCTACTGTTGATAATTATACTTCAACATTAATTATTGTTATTGTTGTTAATACATAAAGATAATACGTAAAATGTTTCAGAATTTCACATACGGCACCTGTAACTTTTTACTTTCCTCTTTCAAAGCTATGGTCCAGCAAGATCCATCTTTCCCTCCTGAGATGAGCCCGACCAGCCCGTTGTTGTCCCCTCAAAACTCCACCTCCCAGAGTCCTCTGCTTCAGCAAGCCCCACCTCCTGGCTACCAGTCACCAGACATGAAGAGCTGGCAACAGACAGGCATGGGCAGCAACAGGTTAGGAAGCGTACACAGTTTGTACATCACTCATTATCCCATCGTGTGTGGTATTTGTATATTTAAATGAGACCCTGCCACCCTCAGTGTAACCTGCTGTCTTCTCTGATTGTGCTGCAGCCTGTTCAGTCAGTCAGGACAGAGTGCGGGGCAGGCCTTTGGCCAGCAGGGGGTTTACAACAACATGAGCATCACAGTCTCCATGGCCGGAGGCTCGGGTGGCGTCGGTTCATTACCTCCCATGGGGCAGCCGGTTGGCATGAGCAACAGTAACCTCAGCAATGTGGGTTCAGTGTGCAGCGACCAGCAGGTTAGTGACTTTTAACTTCCAAAGACATCTCTCTGGTTTTACGTCCACTTTCCCTCCTACCTCCTGACTTTGTCCATAAAGTATAAATACAGTTCAGCTTTGCAATCATTTAGTCCTCCAACCCTTCTGTATACAGTGTGTGGGAAGTCATGGTGGCATCTTAACATAACAGCACAAGTTGCGCATTATGTTACTAAAAACTTCTTTTGGTAGATTTTTCTGTTCATGTCCCTACGCATGAACAGAAAAATGGCAGGTTTTACCAGATTTGTTTCTTTAATTTGGTTGTTAAATTTGTCTTAAATACAAGAGAGAAGCATGAGAGAGGAGATGTAAAACTATATTTAGATTGTTTTTAGTACTATAAACCACAAATATATCTTCTTATGGATATAATCAAAACACTGGAAAAATGTAAAATAGGTTTGTGTTATTGAGTTTTGTTGCATTACGGTTGCTCAAGGTGCTCAGCCAAGACATCAAAAAAAAAAAAAAATAATACAAATATAAAATAAAAAAATATAATCCAAAACATAAAACACCTAATACAAACATCCATATAAGGACAGATATAACGGAATGACATATTTAATTAAAAATGAGTTTAATGTTCAGCCAACACATCCACATCCATATGACAGATATATCTGTATCAGCTGATGATTAATGAGAAATTATAGATTTGAAGATATGTTTGAGGTAAATTATGAGTGTTGCTATTACCGGTCACCAGACATTGAGCTGTAAAGTAATCCACTCATCTCTAATGAATCCTGTGTTCTGTGTCTGTAGGTGCAGCAGGTTCAGGTGTTCGCGGACGTCCAGTGCACAGTGAACCTGGTTGGCAGTGACTCGTACCTGAACCAGGGCTCCATCGGAGCCTCGGCCTCCCAGAAGGGCCCCGGACCGCAGGGCTCCCAGAACAACCAGGCCCAGCAGAAGAGCCTCCTCCAGCAGCTGCTCACCGAGTGACAACCCCACCCCTCCCCCCCTCCCACCCTTTTTTCAGCTCTCCTACTCCCCCTCTACTTCTCACTTCTACGCCTCCTCCTCCTCGGAGGTCGGTGCACCAGACCCATTGCTGTCTCTGTCTCACCTTTTGGATGGAAGGAAGGAAGGATGGATGTTTGGAACGGCCACAACGACGCGTGTGTGTGTGTCGGATCGGGGGGGGGGGTTCAGGGCTGGTTGTTTTGCCGCCCAGTACTTTAAGAAAAGACTCAAGTCAGAAGGAGCAGCAGTGTATTTAAACCTGCCTGTCTAATCTGTCTGACAACCTGTCTGTCTGCCTCAGCCTATTAAAGGCAGTGTTGTCTTGCTGCTCATTCCTTGGTGACCTACTTCCTGCTTCCTGACCCAACAAAACAACTGCGACATCATTGTAGATTTGCCAAGTTGTCGTCACTGTCAAATCAGGGCCGGCCTCCTTTTTGTTTGTTTGTTTGTTTGTTTGTTTTCTGATCGGACGGTTTCTCTCGGGCCGTTGCAGCAGCAACAGCAGCAGCAGCAGTGCATCTTGGGAGCATGAGTTGCAGCATACAGCTGAGCTCAGCGGTTTTAAGTGTGGGAGTATCCCACACAGCAGCACCTCTGGCTTTTTATTTTTGTTTTGGTTTTTTTTTGTTTGTTTTCCTCTACCTGTCTCTCAGCGATGTGGGAATGTTAAGGTTTCAGACCTCTGTGGCATTGTGGGATAGAAGCTCAGTATCAGCTGGTTCTGTGACTGTCTCTCTCTATCAGCTACAGTGCCTGGTGGAAGTTTGAGTTTTTCCCAAGCTCTGCTTCTTCTTCTTCTACATATTATTCTATTATGTCTTCTGTTTTATTATAATTCTTTTGGTTGAGTTGTTTTGTTTAAAGTCTTCTGCTCTCCCTGTCGTCGTCATCATCATCATCATCATCATCTCTTTCAAGATATTTTTTTATTGTGAACCATGTGTACAGCAGTAATACAGACTCGTGTGGAGGAGTGGATATCATGCCTCATTTCAGATGTTTAACAGCAAAAAAACTAATAATACAAAGGGCGGGGGGGCGGGGGTGTAAACAAACCCAAACACCATGGAGCACACAGATACGGTAACTTCAACCTCCCCTCCCTTCAACCTTCCTGTCCCGGAGCAGTGCCACCTAGGGGTCATAAAGACTCTTAACTGTCCGTCCCTTTACGTAGAGGAGACCATCCTTTCAGATTCCTGCAGTCTGTCATTGAGGATGAATCGGATCCTCTCCAGGTTGGAGGGTGTCAGACGGGGTCGCCACGTCTTTCTTTTTCCAAGAGTTTCTTTGCACAGTATAAAAACCATAGGGTGGGAGTTTTTCGGGATATGCCCCAGTTAAACCAAAAGTGGATCTGGATCTTATCTGGACTTTTCACAACCTTAAAGAATGAAAATAATGCAACCCAGAGTTAAATAAATCTGCCTTTACTCTGTCTCATCTCTGGGAGGATTTTATGTAGCTTTACGTTCGAGTAATGCAGAGAAGGGAAACTGATTTTAACGTATTTCAAACCCAGAATGCACTCTGCTGGTTTCTACAGTTCTTATTTACTTATCCGCGGTCGTGCAGTGTAGCGTATATAAATGAAACCACACGTCTTTCCACTATACAGTCTCCCAGTTTGTCAGTAATTGCGCTCTCAAAAGTGTGAAGATGGTTTCTATTCTGGACGTATCTGAAGCAGTAACGATGCAAACGTTCCCGGAATCTAAATCTAAAGTCCTTATACAGTCCTTATTTCTTCCATTGATCAAAGGCTCCATTCGTAGTTGAAGGAGTCGATGATCCGTCTAAAATAAGTATCCAGGACTAAATTAAAATCAGCACCGATTATCAGATTCATGTGGATCTCACCTGTAACTAAAATATACCCCCCCCTCTTCATCTGCAGTCATAAAGCGGTGGAAGAAAGGAAAGCTAATTATTCCCTCAGGCTTCATTTCTGACATGTGTCTCTTTATAAGAAAATCCCATCAGCCTGCAGCTCTCTCAGATGAGATGATACCCCCCCCTCCCCTCCCTCCGGTCCATATTGATTCCATTCACATTCCACGTACAAAATGTCCTCCGGCTCCTACAGTACGTCTCCTCCTACCTTAATCAGCCGGCTGCAGCCTCAAGGACGGATCGCTCTCCTGCGATGTTTTTCTGACGCACTGCCATTCGCCATTAAATGATCTAATTAGCACTCCTCACCCTCTCCCCCCCCCAGTAACCTCTGAGATCTTTGTTACAAACCTCTGACTGACTGACTGTAGCGGCGCTGTAGCCCCCCCCAGCACGCCGCCGTTGTTCGCTCTCCGGTGTCTACTTCCCCTGGGTGACCCCCGACACTTCATTTGGGCCTTTTTTTATGGCTCTAGTCAATCTTTGTTCTCCCCTTAGCTTCCCCAACGGCTTCAATTATACTTCATGTGGTTTTGTGGAAACAGAAACTAATCAAACTCAAATCTGCTGAAGCTACCAGTGAGTGCTCGACAGCCCCCACACGCCCCACAACACCCCCCCAAAAAAAACACTCATCTTCATCATCATCTTAACGATCATCAGAACAAGCTTTGACAACAGCCAGGATGGATTGATGGATGGATGGATGGATGGATGGGAGACAGACAGGATGCTGCTCAGTTTGGAACTTACGTGTCTTCCTCCCCCCCCCCCCCCCCCCCACCCCACCCCCCACCGGGAGGAGGTTTTATTATTTTATTTTTTTTAAAGTATATGAAACTGTTATGATTATTTAACTGTCTATCCGTCACATTTTTACCCCTCACCTCAGCAGCTGTGAATACAGAGCCCTGTCGGGTTCTCTCTCTCTCTCTCTCTCTCTCTCTCTCTCTCTCTCTCTCTCTCTCTCTCTTTCTCTCTCTCTCTCTCTCTATGTATCTTTCATGCTATCTCTCGGCCTATCAGTGTTGTTTGCCATGTGCACCATGCAGGCGGGTAGTATTGTACAGTACAGAAGGACAAAGACTTGGGGATGAGCTCACTCTTCTCTTGTAACTGCTTTCCTTTAAAAGATAAAAAGAAGTGTAATTAATTGATTATTCAGAACAGCAAAACGATGTATAATGTGATTCGATCCAGGTTTTTATTTTTTAGTTTCCTTTTTTTTTTCTCTTTATAACTCTAATAATGTCAGCTCATGGTTTTTGAGATTATTTTTGGCATCATTATATTGTAATACCGCTACATGTTGCAGTGGAGGAGGAAGTTATTCCATCTTCTGAAATGTGAAAAGAAATTTTAAGCAATTGATTTAAAGACGTAGCTAGAAACTCGCTCCCGTCGGCGTCCCGCTGGGCGCTACAAGAGGCCACACACACAAAAAAAATGGGGTTTGATTGCTTTGCTTTCTCTTGTGGTAACCAGGGAGCTAGTTAGCCATCTTTTATTGCTTTCTCCTCTTTTTTTTATTCTTATGTATGTACAATACTTTCAAGAAGACGTTTCAGACAGTACATGTGTTTGTAACCATTGTATAAAAAGAAAAAAAGCATAATAATACCTTTTTAAAAGTTAAAAAAACGCGTTCTTTGCTGCGATCACGTGACCTCCGCCGATGCTAGCGGTACCGAGCCGGGAAACCGTGGGTCGCAGCAAACGACGCGCTTTTTTCGGATATTGTTCCTATATAATGACATTTAAGTAGAGGCTTTAGTAATAGAAGTTCCTAACAAAAGATTGTGATGGATAATTAATTTAAAGCTGTCATGAAATTGAATCAAAACAGGACGTGCGGGGTTGAGTCGCAAAAAAAAAAAAACATCCATTATTTTCTTTTATTTTCTCCTCACCTCCTGCAGACCTGTTCCATCAGTGTTCCCCTCAAAGGGTTTTTATTTTATTTGTAATTTTTTTGGGATTCAACCCTTTTCTCCCTCCACCTCTCTGGTTTCCCTGATGAAGACTTCACTCCACTGGCTACACACACACACACACACACACACACACACACACACACACTCACATACAGTTTTCTGTTGACTACTGTTGCTCAGTCAGACACTGTCTCTCTCAGCAATAACAGACCTCTGTTAACAACAAGTTCACACACCAAACAGAAAAGAAAAATGTGCTGCTCTACAGCTCCCAGGAATTTAGAAAAAAAAAAAACCTGCCGAGATGTTGCCTCTAAATACTCTTTACATGAAGATCTCGATATCAGGCGTGTGAAATATCAGCGTTTTGCTTAGGGCTCAGTCTCACACACTCATAATAACCCAAAGGTTACAAGTGTAGGATGCTATTAAGACTGACGTGTTTTCTATCAGTCTCTCTCTCTTTTTAAACACAGGAATAATGTTCATGAGGGGAACGTCCAGTACATCTGCCACGTCTGTGCTCCAGCACGAAATCCGACGTTCTCCCTCACTGATCGATTCCTGTTGCCAGTTCTCTCTCTTCATTTCATCGTTTGTCGTTTTCTTTTTTCTTTATTTTCCTGTCCTGGAAAATTGGAGACCGTAGTGGAACCGGCGGAGAGAGCGCAGACCTCACATTCAGATATTCGGAAGCGCCATCGCCCCCCTCTCCTCTCCCCCCCTCCCCGCCCCCTCCACTTATTAATCCTCACTCGCTTTAGGTCAACAACATACAGTCTGATTGCTACTTCAGTGGAATAGGGCTTTCCTGTGTACTGTTTTTTCAGAGATACTTCACCGTATGCAACGTTAAACCCAGATACAGAGGGATAGTATGCAAGGTCAACATTCCACCCACCAACTCCTCCAGTGTTGTATGATGTGAGAACCACTTTGTGCTCAGCTGCAAATGCTCTCTGTGTGTGTGTGTGTGTGTGTGTGTGTGTGTGTGTGTGTGTCTGTCTGTCTGTCTGTGTGTGTGTGTGCGCGCAGATGCATGCACTGCGTATCCAAACAGAGGCCCAGGAACTGTCGCCATCTTTCAGCTTTCTTATTCATTTAAGTCCTGAATGCAGGAAACTCCTCCAGCCTCCTGGACTCAAACAAAGTATTCACCGAGACCTTTTCTGACTTTTTTATTTTTTCTATTTGTCTGTGTGTGTATATTTATTTAGAGAAGCATGTGGATAAATCATCAGTAGGCTTTTATTACCTCATTACTGTGTCATCAGACAGGTGTTCTGTCCGGTGATCTTTTTCCTTTACGACCATGTTTTCACACTGTGAGCAGCTCGTTTGATCGGTCGGCTGACGATCAGCAAACTCGCGTACATTTTTCCGCTTCACCTGCTTAACGTTACCTTTTTGGCAACGTTACATAAGTTTGATTCAACATTGCTGGCTTGCGATGAGAGTGAAAAATGTTTGTGTTGAGATTTAAGGCTGCAGCTAACGATTAGCATTATCGATTAACCTGTCGAAAGTCACTCCTCGCTATTTGTGTTTGATCAGCAACACAAAAACCTAAAGATGTTCAATTTATAATAGTATGAAACCAAGAAAAGCAGCGAATCCTCAACCCTGGAGATGCTGGAACAAGCTAATGTTGCTTTTGCTTGATGAATGCAGTTCATTTATAATCAAAATTGTGATTTGACATCACTTATGAGGCTTATACCGCGTCCTGATTCTTTCCCTTTGACCTCGAACCTGCAAGTTTATGTAAAACATAATGGTGTCTCAGAGTAAAACTTCCCCCCCTACCTTTAAACTGAGACCAAAGAATGCTACGAACAGTTTAGGACAGTAATGAAATGGACCCAACTTGCAGTTTACTGTTCAACTTTAAGAAGTTAAACCCTCCTCCAACCTGAACTGGGAGTGTTTAGACATTTTCCGTTCCACTTTTGATCAGCTTGATAAACAGTGGAGCCTCCAAAAGCTAGGAAATACTTTCAGGAGAAAACTCAATTCCTATATTGTTCAAAACAAAATCGATAAAGGCTGCCTGCACTTAGACTCACGTCCATTCAGCACTTACGGGGCAGTATTGTTGATAAAGAGAGAGTCAGTTGGGGGGCAAGGAAGCTCAGAATCTGCAGCTGGTGACGCGTTAGTTAATTAAAGAGTTGAGGGCTTCCTGTAAATTCTTTCTCACAGTGTGAAAGCGCCGATCAGACGCTCCTGCGCCGCTGTTTGGTCCATGTATAAAATACTCCGAAGAGACAGAAGCTGCACAAAGTGGAAGAATGTATTTTTTTGGAAGGATTCAGCCACATTTCGTTTATCCGCTCTGATGATTTCACACATGCAGTATTGACTCCCCCTTCCTTCCCTCCCTCCCTCCCTCCTTTCACTTTTCTGCGTGGAATAGGCATTCCTATGGAAGTGGTTTCCTCTACAACCCTGTTAACTGCAGAAACTCTCAGCTTATCCTGCGATTCAAAACAAACATGCCAAATACAACCAATGCATATGTAATCTTTTTTTTTTTTTTTTTATGCAACAGCCATTCAATGGAAACGACATCAGTCCCTCCTTCCTCACTACGATTAACAAGGTACAAGGTTCTTTTTGTAACATTGGTTTCAAGATGTTAACATAATGTATATAACAGAGAAATGTGAATATGTATTTGTTCAGAATCAACAAAAAAGTTGTGCTCCGAGTTTGTGGTAAAAAAAAAAAAACTACTCGCCTCCGTCATGTTTTTATTTTATGTTTTTGATTTTCTACTTTTTTATTTTTCTGATGATGTATGTATGTATATGACTATCAGTGAGTGCGTATGTATGTGTGTAAGTGATTAATACTGTATATCTGGTGTTCTCTAAGATGGAAAAGTCGAAGATGTCCTGGTTTGATTCTTTTCTTCTTTTTACTCTTTAGACCCTGCACAGTACCTGTGGGTGTTTTCAGATAACTATGCCAGAGAATGGTTTTTAGCGACTGCTGAATGTGATTTTACTGAGAGAGAAGCAGTGTGGACTGGCTTTTTGTACGGGTTAATTTAAAAAAGGCCATATTATTTAATTTTCTCTGTTGTCAAAAGTTTAAGCAGATCTGGGAGAGTGGAGCCTTGGTTTTATGGAGAAGCATTGCCTGGTTGTTGTGTATATTAGTGGGCTTTTTCTTTTTCTAACTGTCTGACTGATGTAGCCTTTTTTGCATTTGTCAATAGTAAATGACCAAAGCTTCAAGATGTGTGATGGATATCATATGCAAACCTCATCATCACTGGACAAGACATAATGTAGCGGCTCTTTTTTTGTTTGTTCATTTGGATTTCTGTCTTTGGCGCACAGCGACGTTGCTGTTCGGCGTTGTTTTTTTGCATGTCTCGACTTTTCCTCGCCCGTTACTTTCTAGACACACTCTGTCCTTATTTTTCTTTAAAGTGGCCTCTCAGCAGCATTCTGTGTGATGTCCCAAAGTTAGGTCAGTTTTAGAGACGTCTCCACTTTGCCAATGAGGTCTTTTGTGCCTGAAGTGCTATCACTCGTTTACAGGAAGAAAAGAAAACATTGCAACCGATAGCTATGCACCTTACTGAAACAAGCATTTCCTCACGTTGACTTGGGTATGTAGAATTAACACTGGAGCAACACTAAATCATTAATTTCATAGGCAAGGCATTTATAGTTCACACAAATGACAAAAAAAGCCCCTTCAGCGGGAGTTTCCCTCTCAGTGAATTTAGTCTAGTGAATTTAGTTGATATCTGATGACCTTTCTCAGCTTTTAATCTCATTCTTGGAAAGAAAAAACTTTTTTTTTTCCATTAACTAAATACTTTATACCAAACTTGAGGTGCCTCGTGTATATATTTTCTGCAGTGAAGATTGCTCCTTTGCTGTTTAACAATAATAACCTTGTTAACCAGGGTTTTTTTAAAACCTTTTTTCACCTTTGTAAAAAAAAGTTTACTGTATTTTAAATGACTTTTTTACACACATAGAAGATTAATCAGACTATTCCAGGAATTTGCAAATACAATCTAATTTTGCACTTTATATCAGATTTACTTGGGAGTGAAAAGGCCATCAGAAACTGTCTCAATCAGATCAGTATTTGGAGAATAAATAATGTCCCCTGAATGTACCAAGAAAATATTAGTTTTACTAGTTTAATTTGAAATTAACGAATTGCTCAGGTTCTTTATGAAGAACTTGACTGTAGTGGATACCCATTATCCAAATGACGACTTAAAATTGTACACCTTCTTTGTAATGTAGTTCTCTGTCTCTCTTTCTGTCTTTCTCTGTCTACACCAACCGATCCTCAGTATAAATACTATGCCAATCTTCTTCAGGTGACGTCCCTCCCCTCCTCTCTCTGCGCTGTCAGCTGACACCAGGCGTACTGTTAATAAAAAAAAAAACCTCCTCCAGCTTGAACTCTCAGAACATTCCTGCTCGCAACACAGTTTCAGCAATCGTCAACACTTAGCTCTGTAGCTGCCGCCGCCACCACCACTCGGCTGTCACTTTCCCGCAGCTTTGAACGTGTTTTTCCTCAAACCAAGGTTGACACTCGCTTTTTTATTAGCAAGAAGTCTAAAGTCTGGTTGTGTGAGACTTAACCTCTGCTATCTAGCAACAATTGTGCACTGACATTAATGACAACACACTAACTTGTGTTGCTTGTCTTCTTCTGTTTTGCTTGTCTTGTCACTTTTGTGCTGCCTAATGTAGAATATTTTGCGGTGTGCTGATACCAGGATCGGGCCAATGCCTGGTGCAGGATCGGGCTAATGTCTGGCTAATCAGAGATATTAATTAAGAGACAATTTGACGTGTAAGATATATTCCATAAATGAAAAGAGAATACAGTTTGATCAGTTTAGATTGTTTTTTTCCTCAAGCATAATCAAAAATATGAAGCATTGGTCCAGAATGGTTTGGTATTAGTGCACCGCTAAGACTCCATTGTCCTTTAAATCCCACTCATTCCTAATGCAGGTGTTCTAAACTAATCTCTACTCTGTGTGAAAGTTACTACAGCATCAGTTGTCAAGTATTGTACGTGCTGCCGCATTGGGACTGAGGTTGGATATGGTTCAGAGACTTCAAAAGAAGGCTTATTATTAACTCACCACTTTGTGTTGTTGTTTTGGGGGCGGTAATGCTTTCTCTGGAGAATTTGCGAAAAATGACCAAGGTTCCACTTTCTCCCTTGTACAAATTAATATAAATAAATATATATATAAATATATATTATACATTTTACTCATTTTTGTCCAGTTTTGTATATTACACTCATGTAAAGTTTGTTTTTAAAGAGGCATCGGAGCAGCTATTACAAGACAATATGAGTGACAATGTTCATCTGGGAGAATTTTATGCATGTTATATTTTCTCTTTTACTCTCTCTCTCTGTCTCTTTTAATGCCCCCCAACCCCCCTGTTCAGGTGTGTAACGTGAATATAAAGAAATCTACCTTTTCTTTGGAATGTTGTAGACAATCAGTCTCAGGCCGGGTCCAGTCCCTGCAGGGAGTGAGAGCCCTGTAGGCTGATAGACAAACAAAACTCATTTTGTTTGACAATTAAAAAAAAAAAAAACTCTTTATTTGCATCTACTGGAAGTCTAAATTTGGAGGTTTGTTCATTCATATGTTCGTGGCTGCTCAAGTTTACACACACACACTTCTCTACTACACTCAAAACACAAACACCTCGTGCATTTGATCCCTCTGCTTTTTTTTTTTCCAAGGTAAAGATGCCAACCTTGAGGAAATGATGCTTTGACTAACAAATCTATAACATCTATGAATGTGGGAATGCAACACATTGCAATAAAAGCACCATTTGAAATGCAGCATGTTGTCCCTGTATGTTCTTTATTGCCTGTGTCAACAAGTTTGCAGATGATGGTGGCGTTTATTTTGAACTCGTTAAGGTCAGGCCAGTCCAAGAAGTGACTCACTGCATCACACAGAACATCAGATCTTAGTGGACATCCTTATCCAAATACCAATGCTAATCTTTACCTGAGGCATTAGTTTTTAATGCAGTTTTGATTTCAATATAAAAAGAAAACCAGTCAATGAAAAATGTGTCAAATGTTTTTATAGATGAGGAAAATACTGAAAAAACATTTAAAAGAATAAAATTATATGATTACCCTATTATGATGTGTATTATTATTATTAGTAGTAGTAGTAGTTGTATGTATGATATATACCCATCTTTCTTATTGCCTGCCAGTCGAAACATTCATCACATAAATTATCAGTATCAACCTGAAATTTAGTGCTAATTCACAAAAATGTACAAATTTTTAAAAAGGAATAGACAGGATGAGCACCTCCCAAATACAAACTCAATGTTGTTGAATGTTAAACTAAACTGACAAAACACTGCTTATAATGGGAACATAAAATATTGAATGGAATGATGAAAAGATTAAAGATTTAAAATATGTAATTACTTAACTAATAAAATTAAGTATATTGTTTTTACCTTTGCCCGGTATTTTCAATGGGTTTTTAAAAGACATCTAGCAAAAAGGGGGCGCCCAGCCATAATATTATGCTGTTTGCGAGACTGTGTGGCATGGAAAACTTTGCGAAACCCCTGATCTAAAACACAGATCGGGCCACAATAAAAACGTACTGTGAGCTGTGCAAGCAAACGCCTCTATGGGAGATAAAACATGATAAAGTTCCCTCTAACTCAGGTGCTAATTATCACTACTGTATTTATAGTTACTTTACACAAACAACAAAAAGCCGCTTCAGTGATAGAACTCCTCTGATAACCTTTATAAATGGAATAAACCTATATAGAACCTTTTAATCTTCCGACCACTCATGTCACATTCACCCACTCACAGACTCCTGGGATGCAAGGTGCCAACTGCTCATCAGAAACTGACTAATCACATTCACACACACACTCCTACACTGATGGAACAGCATCTGGAGCAATTTGGGGTTGTTGTCCTTCAACATGTGGGAGGAGCCGGGAATCAAACTGCCAACCTTCTGATTAGTCAGACTTGCTGACGTATATTAGATTTGGTACAGCGTTGAGTGTGGTGATATTTTTCTTTGTTGCTAATTGATTTTTTGAATTTCAATTGTAACTTTATGGCTTTTGATTATTTGTGGCACTGTTCCACCAGAGGAAAAGAGAGTCTCGGGGTAGAGCTTTGATTCTCTGCCCAAACCCGACTGGACCCGACATATTTATAATGCATCCAACTGTAACTAATGAGTGAATTTGTTATTTATTGTTTTGTTTTGATAATAATTAAAGTGGAAATTTTGGGTCGGGCTCCGAGGTTTGGGCCCGGTCAAAGCTCTATCTGGGGGAAGGCTGAACCAGTGAATATTAAAATCAGTGAACACATTCTCATCACATATATTTTTAATTTTAGTTTAGTCAATGTGGCATTTTTTTAATGTAATCTGAAACAATTCTGCAGTAATATGAGACACCTGATTGGTGGCCAGACCAGGATATGAAAAAAACAAACAAAAACACTTTCAATAAATTCAGTCTCTACATTTGGGTCTGGCAAATAATCTTATTATCTGTTTCAGTGGCTTCTTTGTGATTTATGTAGGTCCCCTGCTCAATGGGCGGTGTGGGATTCTTGTGTTCGTGGTACTCCACTATGGGGTAAGTGATGACTGTAAGCACCAGAACGGCCAGCAGGATGTACAGTTTATACTCCAGGCATATGAAAGTGCTGTAGGCGAAGGCGATGACGAAGCCAAGCGACTCCCACATACGGTAGTTGGCAAATGCCGCCTCTTTGTCCCGGGGGAAAAGGACGCCATAGAGAGCTGCAGGAATGAAAGCAGACAGGACTTTGTTTATTGGTTTTTATGCACAAGTTGACAATACTGTTAAAGGGCCTGTCAATTATAGTGTCACGTTATAGTACTACAGTGGATAAAAAGGCAACTTACATTACATAGCAACTCCAAGGAAAAGACAGCACCAACAGTCAGCTTGGTTATATTTCACATATTAGAGTAAATATAAGAACCTCACCCTCCAGGTTCGAATAAAACAAATAAGAATAACAAGAACAAATACGTTTTATTGGGGATAACTGAGAATGTAAAAGAGTTTGGACTTTCTTACCATTGGTTTGAGTTTGCCAGATAGCGTCTGCCATCCCCCACAGAGCAGGAAATACGAAGAAGACAGGCAGCTGGTCGGGATGAGGCCTCCAGTACAAGAGAGCAATGATACAGGAAAAGTTGGCCCCTGCGGCTGAAAATGGATAGATACACAAAATCAAATGGACGCCAGCAGTTCATTCAGATCAAGTTATCATACATGTATTGTTTAATCTCCATTTATTTTATAATTATATTTCTAAACGTGACCTCTTCTGCAGCTTAGTAAACAAAAATGTATGAGGATGACAACACGGGAACTGCTGATGGTGAAGTGAAAGCTCTATTAGGGAAAATCTAATATAAAATGACCAAAACAGCCAACTTATCTGACTCAGAAGATAAAATGAGGTTGCATCTCAGGACATATTTGAGCTCTCTCAGAAAAGGATGAATCCTAACTTTAAAGGTAAAAACTAAAACTCTGAGGAATCATTTTTTATAATAAAGTCATGTCACATGTACACCTTCCTGAATCTGTATAGATATAAAAGAGATTTTACCCAGAAAGAAGAGTGTGGCTCTCCCAGTGTACTGAGCGAGTCTCCCAAAGAGAAAGGAGCAAAGAGAATTTGAGGCTCCAAAACACATCATAACAAAGCCAACATAATGGATCCCCAAAGCACACGTCACGTAGTTCTGCAAAGAAACACAACATATAAATACTAAATATCTCACATATATATCCAGTAAGTGAAAGTTAGAGACAAAAAAAAACAAGATTGGCTAAAACAGAGTGAGTATTTGAGTTATTCTGCCCCCTAGTGGTTAGAAATCTGAGGTAAAATTAGTTTTTACTCTTTAAAGGCTAACTAATAATGATTTGTCTGTTGTTCAAATTAAATTTGTCTACTTATGCAGGGAAAGAGAGAGAGAGTGAGAGCAGCAGTGGTCAAGTGCACTGAAGAGTGAATGAAGAGAGGGAGCGGAGCAAAGAAATAAAACGTTATTTTCTGATTGCTTCACAGTGGTTATGAGATAAAGTCTTCATAGTCAATCAGTGATCAATTATATTATAGGATCACTATAAACCTTGGTGTACTCCCCGGAGAGGAAGCTCTGTTCAAAGCCACTGTACATGGTGAGGGGGATGAGGGTCAGCAGCCTCCAGTCCTTCAGCAGTCTGAACGTGGCCAGGAAGGTGTGGCAGAACGGCTCCCGGTTCTCACGGAACTGGCTGGTCTGCTGCTGGTCAATGTTGTCCAGGAACACCGCCACGATCAACATGGCCAGCAAACCCACGCCTACCACACAACACAGGATCGTTGGATAGCTTCAAGTTATTTTAATGGTGCATCAATTCTAATCTCATCTTCTAGTAACGGTGAAAAATACTTTTTCATTTGTTTTGATGGATCTGAGGTCTAACCTTCCCCTAACTGTTCTACAGTCCACCCCATTTACAAAAATCGTGAAATAGGGACACATTCTGTTTCCCAGCTACCATTAATATGGGGAACAAAACGTTTTAGTTTTCTCTTTTTTATTTTCAAAACAGAAAAGGAAACATAGCTTGTTTCCTGATTTTGGTTTTCTCACTTCAAAATAAAAAAATGTATCCAAAACCTGTGAAAATATTGTCACAGTAAACTTTTCTTCAGTCACTATATTTAATATTCATATAGTAGAAATATTATATTACTAAAATCTTTTTTGTTTCTTTCATCCACTTTCTTTGTTTCTATGTTGTATTGATGAAAGTATTTGTATCTTTTGTGCTATTTCTGTAGTTCATTAGTTTAATTTGTATTAAAAAAAAAAAAAAAAGTGTATTTATCTATGTACATGTACATATAAATATGCAATGAACATTGACATAATAAACTATTGTAGGAAACTTAGTATTATTTTATATGTATTATTTTGTCTTCCATCAGTATGTTTAAGGGACTAAATAGATCAATAGATAAATCCTATACTGTTATGAAGCAACACCCTCATTTAGTCTTTCAGACTTGACTGTGATTCCAAAGTAAACGCTGATGTTACCAATGTAGCATCCGACGAGTGTCCACACTAGTTTCTGAGCAGGTCTGGTGGTGGTGCTGTTGCTGCTGATAATGAGGCCACAATCAGCCGCTCCGCAGGTCTGCAGCTGCTCCTCTGGGATGTCAGCTGTCAGAAAAACAACAGTCCACATTTCATTGAAATACTCTTCACCGAGAAAATAAAGGAAGAAAGATGCTGCGTACAAATAGTCAGTGTTTTTTTGTGGTCGTGGTGGAAATGTTTTTAGTTTTATTTCATTACATTTTATAAGGAGTACGGTCTAGTTCAGCGGTTCCCAACCTGAAATGTTGGAAAAAGGTTGGGAACCACTGCTCTAGACCTCTTCCTATGAAAAAATATTTATTGCCATTTGGAGACGTTAAAACTTCCTACCAGAAAGACGTCTATAACAAAATTCAACTCCATATAATAAATTTGTAGGCAAAACAATAGGCTACAACTTTTTATAGTATTTCAACTGATCATTTTGTACAAATTTCCATCAATTTCGATGAACATGTTATTGTTAAATTTGTAAATCTTCTTTGTAAATCAGATGTGCTGCATTGAAATGTGTTCACTTTGTTATAAGAGGCACATTTCAAAAAGAAACCGCTGATAATAGAAAGATGTTTCAAAGACACTGGGGAGCTGGTTAATACTACATACTTTTATTATTCAAGAATTAAACAAAAAAAAGATAATTCAAATTTCCATCCAAACAGAGGCCACAACCCAGTAAGGAAATAAAGAGGTAAAAGTTCCCATCAAACTCTAACCTGATAAGCTGGAGAGCATTAACACCAATAAAATGATATACTGCATACACACCTTTTCTAATTCTTTGCTAAACTGGACCCATAAAATGAATCTGTTAGTCACCGGTTAGACCTTGCACGCTGGCGTGCTTGTGTCGCAGTTATCAGCAGCACACAGGATGTAAGATAGAGCCTAGCATATACAATCCAACCACTGAAAGACTATAATGGGCCTTAAAACTAGAAAAAGTGACAAAACTTTAAGCAAGTTGTGCTTATTACAATGAAATCTTATATTGAACATTTATTACTTACTTACTCTTAAAATAATGACAATAACCTTGTTTCTCTGCTGAGATATTATACAACCATTGTTGTTACTGGTTAAATCAAGCTTAATATTAGCTGTAAGATAAAACCAGATTACTTTTCTAATGCAAAACTTGCTTGATTATTTTATCATTTCCCAGAAACAAGTCTTTTTTTTTACTTCCTTGAGGTTCCTTTTTTTGCCTTTGAGGCTCAACAACAGTTCAGCTCTTATTGCATCATCACAGCAATAAAAAGTGATCACGTATGTCATTGAAAGCAATAACTGTGGCTGTAGAAGGAATAGGATATGTATAGACGGACTCCTGCAATACAGCGACCACAGAGCTGTAACCTCTGATTACACTTTCCCTATTATTTCCTTATTATTTTATTATTTCTGATTTATTTATTCCAATCACTGGCTGAGGGAGAGAAGGGTCGAGGACAAGGGACCCGAGGACGGTCAGGAAGATAAGGACTTCTTATTGAAACTAGTTCTTTTGTTCGACACTGGTCCATTCTAAAAAAATACAATCCTGTATTCATCTATAACTTAATCTATGAATGCAAATGAATATATTTTATCATTCTTTTATACAGAAGAAAATGAACACAGACACAATTATGTATGTGTGACTTTCTGTGGCTCAATAAAATATATTTTAAGAGAGAGAACGTTTCCTTTTAAGTCCAACAACTCGTGTGGTATTATGTGTACTGAAGTGTCTCATGATGGCAGGATTGTGACCTCAGATATGTTTGTTAAACTTCTTCCTCTCTCCAGGTTAGTGTGGTTTTTTACAGCTCTCACCAGACAGCGTTTTGGACCATTAACACACCCAAACTCACACACTTTCATTGAAGCCAATTAAAGTCTGTGGGGGGTTCAGTGCTTTGGACTTAGGGGTTGTATTTCCAAGGTGTAAACCAATGGGTCATCAGTTCTGGAGCATAAGAGCAGTGTGATTTGATAGGACAGGCGGAAAGGCGGGATTATTGATTAATTTGTGACTTTATTGGTCCGGTTTGGTGTAAGTGTAGCAGGTCACCAATCAAGATGGGCTGTTTTCCAGGAAGTAGTTTATTTCCAGGAAGTGCCCATTTCCTGGAAAGAATGTATGGTCACTTTACACGTCCAGTCCTTTAATATATTCCCTTTTTTGTTTCCCGTTCACTTTCTATTTAATCGAGTACGACAGAGGAATTCAAGCATTACGTGCCAACTCTGGTGCACTCATTCGTTCCCCTCTGTTCAACATGCAGACAACCTGCGTAAGTGCCTGATTAGCCAGTGATACTGAGTATGATTATGTACACGAACTCCTCGTTGCACCGCCCTGTTCTGTACATCTATTATCACACATGGAAACTGTGACATCCCGTCCTTCTTTTCGGGAATGAAAGCATTTCACAGGAAATGTTTCATGTAGGTTCCTGAAACTCTATATGGATTATTGCATAAGTCTTGGTTGAGCAGCTGTTGGCTGGAAGATATTAAATTCAGTGGTGAAAGAAGATTATTTTCTTGAGTAAAGATCGGACTACCATCGGCCTTTGCAAGCAAAAAGTACAAAAAGTATCAAAAGTTAAAGTAGTCATTCATTATTATTATTATTCTGTTTTTGTCCCTGACGAGCACATGTGAGTGTTTTAATGTTGTAGTTTTGTCAATGTGTGAATACAACGAGGTAGATTAGTAATATAGTATGATATAAGCATGTGTTTTTTTATTGTTAAAAGTAACTATAAGTGTCAAATAGATGTTGTGCAATAATAAATTGTACTTAAGTGCAGTAAATGTACTTTTCCACCACTGATTAGACTTATCCAACTGGTTTGGTCAGATTACTACAATTTGTAAGGCGGCCACCTCAAAGAACTTTGTGTTCATCCCGTCACCACACTGGCACTTACAGTTTCACCTGTCTTCCTACCTATGTTGGTGTCCTGTCCGAAGATGAGCGACGACATGAGGTTTCCCCACACAGCGGACGACTGAAAGATGAAGAAGAAGATGCCAAAGTATTGGTTGATGACATCCGAGCCCCTTTTGCCCTCCCTGATGGCCTGCGCGTTCCCGGAGATGGTCAGGTAGGCGCATTTGGCCGACCACAGAGGAGAGCCTCCCAAACCCAGGATGATTGAGGTGGGGATGAGTGTGTACCTGTGTGACAGAGCAAAGGAGGGTTCAGTTTTTGATGCTTTGTTAACACATTTGAGTTCCTGTCCTCGTCCTAGTGGTGATATAAGCTGCTGCAGTGTTTGTACCAGTGGCAGCAGCTGTACAGTCGGTGAAGTTCCCAGTTGATTTAGAGCTTTTGGTCAGTTCATTGATTCACTGATTTACTCGTGAACAGTTTTGATAATTGATTTAAATCATTTCAGTCATTTTTCGTGGAAAAAACGCCAATATTTGCTCTTTTTAGTTCCTCGAATGTTTGTCCTTGTATTATAATATATTGAATATCTTTAAAACTGTAAATGCTGTTTGCACAAAAGAAGAAATTTGAAGATATTGCATTGGGTTCTGAGAAATTGTAACGTTTATTTTATAATTTTCTCTTGTTTTAAAGATTGAATTGATTAGATATTAAAGTGATCATTCAATTATTTGAAAATTAAAATAATGATTACTTTCGTAAGACTGATATTTTTGCGTAATACCACAACTGCTAGACATTTCTGTAATTTGTACAGTTATTTAACCCTAATTCTAACCCTATCCCAATACAATACTGTAACATGTTTGGTGTCAAACACTGTATACAGAGCTTTACTGTATTTAACTAACTATCAATGGCACCAACAGATTTTATTGGACCTCCAGTGTGAAACATTTAGGAGGATCTAAAGCCAGAAATGGAATATAATATTCATAGGTATGTTTTCATTAGTGTATAATCACCTGAAATTAAGAATCACTGTGTTTTTGTTGGTTTTGCAAACTTATTATGCAGAAATATAAAAAAAATAATCCCCCAAGAGGTTAATGATTTCATTGACTGATTGATTGATTGATTGATTGATTACCATCCGGGGTAGAGGTTTCCAAAGGAGTAGGAGACGTAGCAGGCCATGCCAGCAACGATGGTCCATTTGCAGCCCAGGTTTTTGATCATGATGGGAGGCAGGAACATGGAGGAGACGATGATGGAGGCGTAGATGACGCTCAGAGACGCCACGCCCATCCCCTCCTCTGCATTCAAACTGCTCTGCACAGACAGGGACAGGACTCCATCAGAGGACAATGGAAGAACTGTTCAATGTTCTCATCCTAAACCTCTTCGTCTTTTATCTGAGAGGTTGTTCCAGTGTTAGTAAAGAGGAGGTCAGTTCAGTGATGATTCGAGGGTTGAAGGCGAATTGCGTCAGTTTGAGACGTATGCGTTCATTAAAGTGATTAATATGGCAATAGGGTTTTTATTTTCATTGAATTAGAGAATGAGTTCAGTATCAGATTTAGGACATGAATACGTCTAAATATAGAAATATGGTGGAATGAGGTCATGCAGAAACAGAGTTACCTCTTTAAAATGAATGGTTGAACTTGGCAGTACGTCAGTTTTTAAAGCATAAAGCTACAAAATGCTTGATAAAGGGCAAAAATACAAATTATAATTAAAATAAAAAGAGCAGTTTGTGGAATAAATGAAAAAAAATGCATTAAAAATAAATAAATAATAATAAATAAATAAGTAAGTAAAAAAAACAGATTGTGTAACAGACTTTAAGTAAAGTTAGTGGCTTTCCCTCTCATTTTAGAGTCAACCAACCAATAAATCCCTAAAATCTTCATCATACTGAACTAACTTTCATGAGCTACGGCATTTTAAATGAACAATTAATTTAAGTGCATTTAAGGGATAAAACAAATGTTCTAATGTAATGAAATCATACAGAGTTCAACATTAAAACTACTAAATCCATTTCATGTCTCATTTTAAAGACTACATGAAAAAGATCTTTATGATTAAAGATATAGATACTTTGGTAAATGGTAAATGGACCTGTACTTGTATAGCGCCTTTCTAGTCTTCCGACAACTCAAAGCGCTTTTACACTATTTATCAAAACACAATTAAATTAAGTACCATTTAAGGTCAATTAATGGAATTAATAAGTACATTTAATGAGTTTGTCTGTACATGAATAACTAGTAGGTTAGAACTAGTTCCTCACCATGAATACTAACTCCTGATACTGACACTAAACTACTTTTTGAAGATTTTAATGAACAATTATTCCAAGTTGAGTTGATAAGTATAATAAATGTTCTAATATATTACAATTATAGGGAGATGGGAACTTCCAAAACCCATTATTTCTCATTTTAAGGGAATATTAAGTGGCCCTTGGTCTTGATGATTAAAGAATACTGAAACTAAACAGATTGATCCCATCAGTAATGCTATTAATGATGCGCAAAAAGGCATTTGTAAGAATCCCTCAATTAGGTGTCCCTCCATGAAATCCCCATGATATTAACTCCTACTGTTTTTACTTTTAATGAACAATAAACTAACTCTCCTGTGTAATAAATAATAATAATTCCACCTACCTGTAAACTTTGCAGGCCTCCGTACGCCGTGAACAGAGACAGAAACCCGAGAGAGACCACCAACACATTCTTGGAGTTACGGCTCATCATGGTTGCCTCTCAAAAAAGAAGAAGATCTCCACGGATCCTCTAAACCTCTTTAAAAAAATATATATAAAAAATAAGAAAAGTTAACTTAAGTGGGGGGGGAGTTTATCTTAAGGTGAACGTCTTCATACAGCAGCGGCACAGCTCCAGAGCTACAGAGGAGTTTCTGTCTGCTGAAAAATGATTGTGTCTGTGATAAACTTTAGACTGGAAATAGCTGAGAACAAAGTCCAACCCTTCTCTCTCACACACACACACACACACACACACGGTTTTTGAGTAGTGTTACGCAGAGGATCCCTTATCATGTGGCCTCTGAATTACCTCACATACATACATGCTGTACACCTCCCTTCTTTTACGCCCGTCATTCCATATGTTTTGATCATAAACCCTCACAAACATGTTCTTCTTCAGTCCTTCTGTTTCCTTCTTCCTCCTCAGTGTTTCTCTGCACATCTTGTCAGAAGACACCTTATTCTGGCTCAGGTGATGACGTACAGTCAGGAGCAGTGGCACAAAGAGAGCAAAGGTTTATGGCTTGGTATTTCTGATCCTTTTTCTTTACGACTGCACAAGCTCATCGTTTTTTTTTTTTTTTTTACAGTGCGATAGCTTGTTGTTATTTGAGAAATATGGCAAAAACACAGGGACACACTGCAGTCCAGTCTGTTGTCTCAGCTGCACTCAGAATGACACAAAAGAGCTTCAGATGTTTTTTATCAACCACAAACCAGATCTGGTCGATACTGTGGAGTGGAGTTAGGTCGTCATAACATGAATATGAACATGTAATTTGGGTTTAATGTATGTTAACCTCAGTGTGTGAACTGTGCCATGGCTTTCAGAGGTTTTTTTTGGGGTGTGGAGCTCGAACTATGCTGGCTACATAACAGAGAACAGAATAAGTGCGCAGAGACTGAGTGGGGACGAAGAAAGTTGGGTATTTTTCTGATCTTTGAGTTAATGGGAGTGAAAGTTTATGATATTGCGCCTCTAAGCTCTGACGATGATGGCAGCATGAACTACAGCGTAAATGAACGTTCCTGACCATTCTTACTGCTATTTCTGCATCACCTCATATTTTCTTGAACAGCTAAAGCAGTATACGTTTGATAAATCACAAACAACACTTTAAATACTTTATAAATGAAATAAAATAAAGGCACTGAGGTTAACAAGTACTAGGTTGTTTCTCACAGTACAACAAACAGAATGTGTTCTCACTTTACGAGACAAAATATGTGCATTTAGGAAATATAAAATCATTTTTAAATGAGGTCAACAGGCTTTTGTTCTTTCCTCAAAGTAGCTGTAATTTGGAGATTTCCCATCTCCTATAACAGAACGTGCAGTCACTTTATAAACGACACAATTCAGGTGCATTTAAAAGGAGTTAAGGATCTTGTTTTATCAGAAGCAGCAAAAACAATGTGGAAATTTTATTACTCTATATATGAGAAAAGATAAGATTAGAGATAAATAGTTAAGATAAACTAGACTAAAACCTAAAACTAAATACTGCTCGGCCTTCAGAGCGTGCAGGAGAAACTATGGTGGAAAAACTGTAGAAACATGGCGGTTCCACATGGCGGATTCTGTAGAAGAGGACCTGCTCCCTCTGGAGATAGATAAAGATACCTATATTGAATATTATATTATATTCATGCCCATAGATCCTCCTGAATGTTGCGCACTGGACCTTTAAATGAAGTCAGACTGAGTAATCAAAGATACGAGCTCAATAACTGATGAAGAAACACTTCACTGAGTCATAATCTGCAGTGATCATAAATCATAAAGTGATGTTGTAGCTATGACAAAGATGTGTTTTCCTCTGAGACCAGTGTGATACCGTTGTTTTATCACATATTTATATTTTATAGACTGCTCAGAAACTTCTCCACCCTGTTGTTAAGATATTGACATGGCTGCTCTGTTTATCAATTCTCCGATCTATGCAGCTGATGTCATCCTCCTCTGTCACATTAACTATTGTTTTCTGTGTAAAGTTATGGTCCTAAAGTGGTAAAATAAAAGGTTTTGTTTTTAAAATGCACTTTTACTAATGTACTTTTGTCCACAAAAACGAGGACAGATCCAGGGGAAAGTCTGAATGCAGGACTTGTTGTTCTTTTACTTTTACTTGAGAAAAGGGTGTGAAGACTTCTCCTCCCACTGCTGAATGTAAAACAGTGTGAGTGAGAAGTGAAATGACAACTTAAAACTATAGATGAAGCCAAAAAACCTCCAGATAACAGAACAGTTGATGTAATTCTGTGTTGAAACTCTGCAGCTTTCCCCAAAAAACATCATCCTGCAAGAATTATCTCTTCTTAAGAATGAAGAAATATTAATAATCATAGTCGTAAGGTGAAGAGTATGTTCACACAACACAAACCTGACCACACTGACACACAGCAGAGGATTTAGATAAGTGTCTTATACAAAAGAGTTATATCTCTGCCCCACTAAGACTCAAAAGTCAGCTGTACACACACAAACACACACTATCACCTCACCAGGAGTCTTTTTCCAGCTTTCCCTCCAATCCCCAGCCGCCTTTTATAAAATCTCAGAAGAAACAGCCGCGTATAAAAGTTACCTACTGCAGTTTAAACTGAACATGTCTGATCAAATTTGCTTATTTGCAAATTCTTCTGCAGTAGAGATAAAAGATACAAGATAAAACATTTAGAATACAGGATTACAATGGCTCTCTCCTGGCGTAATGATTCAGTCAGTTCACACAGTAAATATAGATTTATATGGTTCAGACATTTCGATATGTAGAATCCCTCTCCTGATTTTATAATAAAAATGTCCTGTCCCTGATCCAAATGTATCCTTTACTCCAGTGGTTCCCAACCTGGGGGGACGGGACCCCCACTAGGGGTCGCCAAGGCTTCACAAGGGGTCGCAAGGCCTTCTTAATTTCAAGGTAAACTTAAAAAGTAGACACAGCAGGCCTATATCTCAGCATTTAATTAATTTCTGTGAAGAAAACAAAATTAAATTGTGATTTTTAGTAGTAAGATATAAAGTTTGAAGACCTGAACACAGACTATATTCACAGAGAGCCTTCACTCTCTAATAAACAGCCTCGTCCTGCATCAGAGAACCCAAGAGCTGACAGAACAATTAGAAGAAAACACTAAATTTCTCAAAAAATAAACCTATTATGTTTGTGTGATTGTTAAAATCTAAGATATAAACAAAATAATTGTATGAAAAGTTCCTAAAAATATCAAGAAAACTCATCTCTGATCAATATTCACAGGAAATAATCTGCTCGTTTTACACAAACTTTACTGCAGTTACTGTGTTCACTGTTTGGGTTCATTGCACAGTTTATATTCTGTTATGTACTGTTATTGTTATACATGAAATATAATATAAAATACCCATAAAAATTACTAAATGTTAGAACAGGGGTCCGTTCAGGAAAAAGGTTGGGGAACAACTGCTTTACTATTTATTGAGGTATTTATTTGACCAACAGAGGGAGTCAGAGTCCACAAACGAGGACAGATCCAGGGTAAACTCTGAATGCAGGACTTGTTGTTCTTTTACTTTTACTTGAGAAAAGGGTGTGAAGACTTCTCCTCCCACTGCTGAATGTAAAACAGTGTGAGTGAGTAGTGAAATGACAACTTAAAACTATAGATGAAGCCGAAAAACCTCCAGATAACAGAACAGTTGATGTAATTCTGTGTTCAGACTCTGCAGCTTTCCCCCAAAAACATCATCCTGCAAGAATTATCACTCTTCTTAAGAATGAAGAAATATTAATAATCATAGTCATAAGGTGAAGAGTATGTTCACACAACACAAACCTGACCACACTGACACACAGCAGAGGATTTCGATATGTGTCTTATAGAAAAAAGAGTTATATCTCTGCCCCCCTAAGACTTAAAAGTCAGCTGTAAACACACAAACACACACAAACACACACTTCTCACCTCACCAGAAGTCTTTCTCCAGTTTACCCTCCAATCCCCAGCCGCCTTTTATAAATCCTCTGAAGAAACAGCCGTGCTGCATTTAAAGATTCCCTTTACATTTATTTTTACCGTCTGCCTTTCGTTCTGCAGCTCCCTTCTTCCACCCCTCTATCGCTGCACCCCCACACTGTCTACTGTGTTTTTTACTCTTTATCTTTCATGTTGTGTCATGCTGAAAGTGGAACTCCTTCTTGACTCTGCCAACCTGCCACCAAACTGTATTTCTAAATTAGTGGTTTACACTGTAAACAAGTCAGGGTTACAACAACGCGACAGCATTTAAACATTTAACCTCAAAGTGGCTGCAGATGAAGATTAGCCTGTATGGCTGAATCTGGCACAGTTAATTAATGTGTATTCAAACTTTAAATATGTTTAAATATCTAATCTCTGCCACCAGGGGGCTCTCTCACATCAAAACAGTAACAAAAGACAAAGTTTGATGATGTGGTGAAGCAGCGTGGGATCATGGGAGTTGTTGTCTTCACCACCATTGCAGTCAGTTTCTCCCGGTTAGGATTCCTTCAGTGTTCATGGTTCAGGAGGTTTCTACTGAATTAGTAGAAGCCGAGTTATCTGCAGAGGGCTCTCTAAAACAAACAGAACAAACAGATGGGCTGTGTAATGTCTTACTGAATGAAGCAGTTCCACCTTAAAAATCTGCTAACCTACATGTGCAGGCTGGCTGTTTTCAGACAAACACAGGAATCTTTACCATCCCTACAGCAAAACATGGGTACAGTATTAGATTCAGCCTGCTCAGTAAACGATTCCTCGAGTGATGTCACTTTACTCAGACTTGACGTAACTCCTCCTGAGCCACAGAAGACATAACACAAGAGTTTTAACAGGCTTGAGTAGTGCTCTAGTACACTCTAGTAAAGTTCCCCTTTATAAGCTGATTAAAATACCTCATTAGAGGTGAATGTCGTTCCAAGTGTCAAATACTTTGTGTGTTCAACTTCTGACAGGATATTAAACACATTTACACACAGACATAAAGAAGCAAACACAGGTGACAGAGGTGATGTACATGCCACAGTGTGAGTGTGTAACACTTTTTAATGACTGAAATACAAACACCAGCACAACAACAGACAGTCACACAGCGGAGCATGCGTCTCATTGGTTGGTTTGATTTTAACTGCAGTTTACTACTGTTCTATTTGCTACATACATGGACCAATGGGGAGTGAGAGCTAACCTCCCTTTAGCACACACATACACACACACACACACACACACA